GGCCAGTTGCCACCACCTGGGCCACGAGCGTCATAGGTGTTGTTACTGCAAACAAAGATCAATGTTAGCTCACGCTCCTTGTTTGATCGGCTGGTGAGGCCAGTGTTTTTTTTGTTTTTTTTTTTTACTTACCCAGCCCAAGCGCTGTTGTTAAGGCCGTTGACGGCGGCAGGAGGGCCGGCCATGGGAGGAGGAGCCTCGCCCATCTTACCGCGAAGGTGGGGAGGAATGTAAGAGCGCCTCATCTGGCCCTGACCGCCCATCTGGGGGCCCGAGGGAGGCTGGTCGATGGACAGGTTGCCCATGCCGCTGCTGAGTTGATCCGCCATGATTGCGTTGGTGAATATTTTCTTCTCGGATAAAATCGCGGTGAAGGAGTGAGAGTTGTTTTGGTCGTTGGACTGCTGGAATGAAGTCGACTCGACGAAGCTGTTGCTTTTTCGAAAGGCTCCCGAAAAGAACGAATGTTCAAAAGGAGAACCAACGAAAATGAATCGACGAGAAAAGAAGGCAAAAACCGAACAAACTGAATGCTCGCTCTTTTCTCTACTCGTGTATCGCAAGTATTAAGTGTGGGAGAATTGTCTCCTTGAGTATCCTTTTCGAAGAAAAAAAACAGATCTTCAAAAGGAAAAAGGAACGACAAAGTGGTAAGGGAAATGCGAGTCGGATACGAAGGGGGGATGGATTAAGAAATCCTGTTGGGTGTGGTGAAAGAGAAAAGGGAAAAGAAGTTTTTTTTAATGGGAGCGACCTGGAGAAAACCCCAAGTGTTTTGGGACCTGTGACTCCACTGCTAGAACGGCAGCTCAACTGCCTGCAGTTCTAACTGGCTAGATGGAAGGTGGCCTGCCCACCCACTGTGGCAGGAAGGGTCCACTCTTGTGAGGTGTCCAAGGCTTTGCCCGCTCGCCGAAGCCTCTCTCTGTGGCATGCTGGCTGCGACACCCTTGCCCGCCAATCTCATCATTCTCTGAAACATGGAAGTAGAGGTACCTCTAGAGGTATCTGCACGCCGTCGCCGCTCATTGATGATGGGTGTTTTGTCAGCCTTTGAAAGGGTTTCTTCCCAATTACTATCGGCTCTACGGACTTTGCTGACATGGTGGTTGCCCACTTCATGGGTCTACTGGCTACAAAAAGAGAGGGGACCTGGACTTTGGACCCCTTACCTCCTCTCTACCTCTGCACTAGGAAGATGACGGAAGCGAGGGGAGCGCAATGTACTGCGTACTGCGGATGTGCAGGCGGGCAGCGAAGACTGTGCAATTGCGGCTGCGACTTCCAACTTTCAACCGAACACAGGACAGACAAGATGGAAGGCACGAAGATAACTGAAATTTCAGCTTGTCTTTTTCAAAAACCGCCCACAACCCGTTCCTTTTCTTTTCTTTCATCCGCTCCTTCGTTCACCCGTCTTTCTTTTTGTCCTGATCCAGCGTTCGCTTGCCATGTTGCCCGTTTCTGCCCAGCCTTTGCCAGCGCAACACGGCGGCGGCGGCGGCCACCCCTTTCCCACCAAGTGGAAGCTGACGGCTGTCAACCCCTCAGAATCCCACCTTCCTACGTGGGGAAGTGTCAAAAAGATGCCAGATGAGCCCCCAGTGCCCCCAAGGACGGAAGGGCATTGCCATCTGGGTAAAGGTTACTGCAGTCCGGGCTCTGTTGTTGTGAGCAACTGGGACCGGGACCTGAACGTTCATCCGTCCGTCTCCTCCATGGATCCCAGGGCTGTCATCATCCTGATGGCAAAAAAAGGGTCCTTGTACCGGTACCTCTCCGGTTCTTTTTTTGACGACGTTGGTCATGGCGATTGGTGATTGCAAGGCAGCAAGAGCAAGGGCTGGGAGCAAGGCAACAAGCGGCGGCGGAACGTTCACGTCTTTGCTACCTCTAGGCCTTGCCAGGCAATTCAGGTGGCGACAAAATAACATCATTGCCATCCTTCTCTGCCTCTGTTTAGATCTCGAACATTTGGATGGATCTTTATTTGACTTTTCGGCTTTTTGCTACGCACAAACACACCCATTTTTGGCTGGCCAACAGTAATGATGCAAGCGCCCAAACCTCAATCAACATGCTGAGTGGTCTAAGTGGCAGACACAAGAAAAGGGCAGTCTCAGTACCGGTAGTCATCACTCAGCAAGGACATGGAAAGCCATAGAGGTAGGTAGCTTTGACCCTTTTCGCAGGCAAAAATCATCGAATTGCACTTCCTTCGTCCTATGGTAGAAGTCAGGGGGGCGGTTTGTCCTTTTGCCTCTTGTCGTCTCTTCTGTCCCCCTTTCAACCGGTGTTGCCGGTCTCATACCTCCGGCTCTTTCTGTACCTGCACTCCTATCCGATATTTGCAGATGTTAGAACAAACTCTCAGATGACAGTTGCAAATACAGACATGCATACTGAGCTACTGAGGCTCTAAATTTAACAAAACCTCATTTATACCTGCGTACTATGCAGAGATACTGGTTGTGTTATCCAGGAAGTTTTGCAGAAAGGCTCCCAGAACTCCCCACGTTGTTCAATGTATCACCAACTCATCACCAACCATCAACGCTCGTTCGGCTCAGCTTGATAGCGCTCACCGCCCTGACTGTTAACCGTCGTTGATGGGCCTCATTCCTGTCAGCCAACAATCATTGATACACTTGTACATTGCTTTGCTTATACTGCATGCACTTAGCAGCAATTGCTGCAAGTCCCTTACGGCTTTTCCTCCGTGTGCAAGTGGGCTTTGAATGATGCTGACTCAGCATATGAATGAGAACCGACCCTTTGCTGGCACGAGCTGTTTGTTTGATAGTTCTCTATGGTTGTTTCAAGGCTTGATCGGTAAGTCATGACTTTGTTACAGCTTGATGGTTTCAGAAAGGTACACAGAACGGATTACTAGTATCCATTGCTTGTCGAGCCCCTGTCCCCAGCAAAACCATTTGGCGGGACGAGCTCCTTCATGTTGGGTACTATTCTCCCATGATCACTAAAACTGCGCAGAAATTTGATTTTCTTCAACTGCGGCATCGATACCTACCCTGTTGGAAAGCTCTTATAGATATATATCAAGAGAAACTATACTGACATAGCGCTATGGTGTGACAAGGTGTATGATCGCCTCAAGCGCACTTCACAGAACACCCTGAAACCGGGAGCCGCAGAGACTGACTCTCGGACTTCACAACCTCTCAACATGACAGCCTTATTCCTCCGTCTCTCTCTTTATGATCATAAAATTTGCCAGGGGCCTCCCGTTAGAATAGCCGACCTGGACTCATGCATTTCCGTCGTATGGGTATTATTATACAGAGTCGTCCTCCCCCGCAAAGGCTCCCCAAGCCGCAAGCAAGCAAGCAAGCATCCCCACATTAAGCCATCTTAACCACCTTGTCGTCGTCGAACTCGATATCGATGATGCCGTCCTTCGTTACCGCCTTGACCGTCATGCCCTTGAAGTCTATGGGTAACCTCCTCTTGAGCTCGTCGGTGCACATGTTGAGGAGCTTGATGCCCTGGTGCAGGGTGATGTCTGGGTGGTGGTGCTTGTCGAGGATCGAGAGGCAGTAGTATCTGTTGAAAAGGACCGGTCAGTACGTCTGTCCATGATTCTCTCGCAACGAAAGACGTGTTTATAGATATCGGACGAGAAAACATACTGTGCGTAGCCATGGGCGGCATAGGGGACCTCGGCCAACGACGCCAAGTAATCGAGCCAGTAGAGGCTGGGCTTGTGGGTGATGGGGTCGACACCTCCGAGAAGAAGGTTCACGTTGTAGGGTTTCCGAGAGCGCAAGCTCGTCGCAAGCTCACCGCGGACAAAGTGGGCAAGGGCGGAGGGGGAAAGGTCGGTCTCGTTGCGCATGGAGTAGAGTTGGGCGTTGGCTTGGATGTACTCGGCGAACTGTACTGTTGATGGGAAAGAGAGTTGGTTAACTTGATTTCGGTTCTCGGATGCGCCACCATCACAGTATCGTCGCCGCCGTACCTGTGTCACCAGCTTCACCGGAGAATGCCATCAATGTGTGCTTGTTCAGCGACCTGGTCTTGTCGTCGGATGCCTTCAGGATGGTCGCTCCCCGCATAGCGGCCTTGGACGCCGCAATGATGGTAAAGTCCTTGCCCGTGATGCCTAGTAAAACCTCCCTACATGCTGGTCAGCTTGGATATAATCTCCATAGAACGCGACCGATGCGACGTACATTTTGGCTGATTGTTTTGTGAGTGATGGATGAATATGCTGTTGTTTTGGCAAGCTTGCGTTGGCTTGCACGGTTCTCGTCGTTACCTATGGCGGGACACTGGCAGTTGGAGCTTGGACTATTGACGGCGACGGGGAACGCGCAACTGGAGCTTCAGCCTGCAAGTTGACATGGAAGCACGGGCCAGGCCGTCCAGGTGCCCGCCATCTTCCCATCTTCCTCCCAGAAGGGCTGAAAGCTGCAACCACTGGACGGGCAGGCACGGCAGGCAAACAGACAGCGAGGGACAGCCCCACTTCGTCATGAAACCTGGGATGGACATTTGGAGACAGCAAGAGCCTCCCCACCAGCCCATCGAACACAGCGGACCACTAACAGATGGCTAACCAGATTGAGCGTTATGGAGCTGAAGTGTTCGTTAGCGGCACGGTAAGATAAAGTACACGGCACGGGGATTCCCTTCTCCGACTTTTGCAATCAATCGTGCCAAGCCAGTGGAGGAGACCTTGACGAATCGGCGTGCTACTCCACCAAGAGAAAGCTTGCAGGGTGGACAACTTTTTTTTTCCTTCGTCGAAGTGTCTAGGCGCGAACGGCCATACCAAAAATTTCAATTTCAACTTTGATAGCCATGCCAGCAGCGTTGAAGTGAAGCCAAACGCGACCCCAATTCACATTCCAGTGTTTCATTCTCTACCACCAGACGACTCCAGTGCATTTGGACCGACCGCCCCGGGCCGCAATTGCCAAAATACCATGTCGTCCTTTTTCACAGCACCCGCTGGGGAAAAGAAGAGGAAGCGTGCCTCTGCCAACGAAGCCCCCCAGAAGCGAGTTGCGACCGGCAAGTCGACTGCCAAATCGTCCTCGGCCAAGGCCCCTGTCGCCAAATCACGCCCTGCCGCCCCCAAGAAAGCCGTTGAGCGCGACGAGTCGATATCCGGCAGCGACATTGACAGCGACGATGGCGACCACCACATCGAGAGAGAGGATGGATCGGAAGGAGAGGAGGAGTCGGACCACGAAGGAGAGACGGCGGCCGAGAAGCGGTTAAGGTTGGCACAGCGATACTTGGACAAGGCACGACAAGAGGTGGAACTGGAGGAGGACGAGTATGCCTTCGACGCCGAGCAGATCGACCGTGACTTGCTGGCCGAGCGTCTTCAGGAAGATGTGGCCGAGGCCAAGGGCAAGGTTTACCGCCAGCTGGCTTCCAAGCTCGACTTTGACGGAGCCGCCCACACACAGTTTAGGTGGAATTCGGGAACGGTAACATCAGTCTCGGTCTGCGCGCCGTACGCCTACACCACCACAAAAGACGGCTACCTCACCAAGTGGAAGCTACAAGACTTACCCAAGAACCAGTGGCCACAGACGACCAAGAAGAAGCCAAAGAAGCCGCCTGCGCCGCCCAAGAAGAAACCCGAGAGAGTATGCTTCAACAGGGCGAACCCGACCAAGGCAAAGGACAAGACATATCAGGGCCACACCAACGCGGCCATCCTGACGGTCAAGGCCTCCTCGGACGGCAAGTTCGTCGTCACCGGCGGCGCCGACAAGCGAATGGTCGTCCACGACGCCGAGACCCTCAAGCCCATCCGGGCCTTTACCCAGCACCGCGACGCCGTCACCTCGCTCGCCTTCCGCCGCGGCACCAACCAAATATTCTCCGCCTCCAAGGACCGCACGGTAAAAGTCTGGTCGCTGGACGAGCTCGCCTACGTCGAGACGCTCTTCGGCCACCAGGACGAGATCCCCGACATCGATGCCCTGGCCGGCGAGCGCTGCGTGTCGGTCGGCGCGCGCGACCGCACCGCCCGCTACTGGAAGGTTCCCGAGGAGTCGCAGCTGGTGTTCCGCGGCGGCGTGTCGGAGAAGAAGTCGTACAAAAACCGGGACCAGCAGGTGGACCACGACGGCACCATGGACCAGGTGGCCATGATCGACGACGAGCTGTTCGTGACGGGCGACTCGGCGGGCACCTTGGCCCTGTGGGGCATCAACCGCAAGAAGGCGCTGTTCACGCAGCCGTGCGCGCACGGCATCGACCCGCCGCTCAAGCCGAGCGAGGTTTCCGCCGACGCGAACGCGGACGAGAGCGTCGTGCCCACCCCGCAGCCGCGCGCCATCACCGCCCTCCGCACCATCCCCTACTCGGATGTCATCCTGTCCGGCTCCTGGGACGGCTTCGTGCGCGTTTGGCGCCTCAGCGAGGACAAGAAGAAGATCCTCCCTGTTGGCGTGCTGGGATCCAGCTCGGCGCTGCAGCAGCTCGACCAGGCTGAGGCGCAGAAGCAGAAGGAGGAGGCGAAGCAGAAGGCGAAAGATTCCGGCGTAGCAACCGCAAGCAGTGGAGAGGAAGGGCAAGCGGACGACGAAGCCTCCGTCGATGGATCGCAAGACAAGAAGAAGAAGCAAGAGAGCGGGCTGATCAGGGGTATCATCAACGACATTGCTATCTTCGAGCGCGGCGACCGCGGACGCGACGGCATCTGCATCGTGGTGGCCACGGGCAAGGAGATGAGGCTCGGAAGGTGGAAGGTCATGAAGGATGGAAGGAACGGGGCTACCATCTTTGAGGTGCCCAAGGTTGCTAGGCGAGCGGGCGCCAAGGGTGAGGATAGTGAGGACGAGGAGGAGGCGTAGAAGTGCGATTCATACCATCACATAAGAAGGAGAAGAGATCCATAATCATCATCTGTTGAATTACAAACTGCATTGGACATTGTATCACCATTTTGCGGCAACCAAGCTACCTAGCTATAGAGAAAGAGAAAGAAGGAATAAGTAAGAAGAAAGAGAGCAAGTATTGTACATACCACACTTTATCATGTAGCCTCATTGCATTTGGACGGAGTTGAAAAGTTCTTGTCATACATCCAGTTGGCCAGGCTATGATTCTGTGGTGCACCTATGTTGTTATCTGTTCGTCTCTCCGGGGTGCCATGGATGGTGGTGTCGTCTTGGACTGCCTGCGTGTGTGGCTGTTGAGCCCGCGCGAACTGTTATGGTACGTACACTTTATCTCATCAAATCTCAGGGCAATGGTTATAAACTCTTCTGATATTCCCTCCGTGAACATGTAATGTACCAATCAGAGGAGTGATTGACTGTTTTGACTACTCTACGCTAGGTACTCTTGCTTTGCCTTCCCTTCGTCCTGAACCTGTTCACCCAACAACTGTTCGTTCTGTTTAAGGTCCCCAAACCGAAACCGGTTGGCCGAATAAAGGTGACCCTACACGGTATCCTAGATACATCTAGACTCGGATACAACCAAACAGTCGAGGGCGTTGGGAGTGAAGATACAATGTACAAGACTTGGGAGTTCTAACTCTGAACCCCTAGACAGTCAAGCAACCAGCTCTCAAAAGACAACGCACCAGCCAGCTATGCACACCAGCCAGCTATCAAGAAACGCCAATACATGCAAAATGTGTAAATGCATAAAAATGAATAATGCTTACATGACCAGACAACCATAAGTAACTCCAACGCTCCAACTCTCTCTCTCTTCTTACTCCATCACCCGTTACCCATTCAAAACAAACAAGACTAATCCAACTCAGCTCACTCAGTTGTCATCAGTCAAGTCAATAGCCGCGCTGTGCAGGGCGGGGATGTCAGACACAACTATCGCCGGAGGGGGTGAATCGGGGATTTCCTCAGTGGTCTTGGTCTCAGCCTTCCTCTCGGACTTGGCCTTTTCCTTAGAGGTAGTCTTGGTAGGGGATGGTTGCCGCTGTTGTTCTGCACGGCGACCCTTTCCTATCCCACTTCCACTTCCACCTGTGTTGTCCACGACTCTCCTAGGGATCCTGGACTTTTGGCGGGTGAGCTTGTCACTTTTGCCGTAGGTGGTCTTATTGTTATGATTGACCTGATTGTTGTTGTTTTTGTCCTTACCATCAACCTTGTCGTCGATCTTCTTCTCGACCTTTGCTTTGCTGGTAGTCGTCATCGGTCTTTGAACTTCAGGGGTAGGCGGATCGAAAACATCGATCGGCGCGGCGGGTTGCGCTTTAGGCTCAAGTGAAGGCGCCATCTTACGTGCGGTTGATGTTGCCTTTGCTCTACGCACTGGTGACGACTTCCGCTTCCGTTCTACCAAGGGGGACTGCGGCCTCGGCGAGTACGGCTTCAGTGACTGTAACTTCGGTGATTGTGGCCTCTGAGGGACGTTGGAGTAGAACGTTTGGGGGCTTATCTCCAAAGCAATGCCTGAAGTCCGCCTGTCAGAAGCCGGAGAAGAGGAGGGCAGAGTAGGTATGAAGTTGAGCTCAGGACTTCCTTTAGGAGTCTGCGAAGAGACCGGCTGCCGGGGAGAGTGGTTGTGATCCTTGCTTCTAGGTCGATGGTTCTCACCAGGTAAAAGGTCAGGGACCTCGTCCTTGAGCTCAGATTCCTCCTGTTCCAAATCAACGACAACGTTGCCGGCGGTTTTCTGAGGCCGAGTAGATGGTCGCGGAATGGGCGCAACCGGATCTAGGATATGGCCATTAGAATCGCCTCTCCCAACGGCCACGGCGGCAGGGTTGGTAACTGTCACGGTTGATGGAGAAGCTCCGCCTGTTGGTGGTGACTTGATGGCAGTTGTTGGCCTTGGAGCAGGAGTAGGTACGTTCAGGGTTGTGTTCCGAGAAACGACTGGCGGTTTAACAAATTGAGGCGCGGAAGAAGCGTTGTCGGCTGTAGAATCATGGGACAAACCATTGCGTTCCGAAACCTGTCTCTCTGTAGCACTCATCGCTGTGTCGGATGGAGTTGAGCTAGCAGCCTTGCGTCTAGCAGCTTCTTCTTTCTTTCTCCTCTTTTCCTCATCATGCCTCGCCTGGTATTCCTTTTGCTTCTCAAAGATGGTGTTGCGCCAATACTCCCGTAGTTCGGAAGGGTCAAACCTCCAGTCTGGCTTATCCCTCCGCAACAGGCAGTGTGCGAACTGGTCCGGGTCTTTGACGAACTCTTGGATATACCCAAGCAGGTATACACCACAATCCGAGAAGTTGTCCTGCTCTGGGATGTTGCTCGCCTTAATTCCGATCTGCTTACGAGGATCCTCAATCTTCGTTTGCCTCTTATCCTCGAATTCCGCCAGAAGGTATTTCTTGAGTGATTGCACCGCTGGATAATGGGTGTTACCCAACGAGTCCAGTGTAAGGATCTTGGTCTCTTCCGAAATATCCTTTTTGGGCGGCTTTGCTATTTTGTTGAGCTTTTCTCCGAGGTCGTTGTCTGTATCCTCGGCTACCAAGTCCACCACTGCGTTTTTCACCTTTTCTGCCTTGTTGCTGCTGTCGATTTCAACTCGCTCAGCCGACTTGCGAGATTCTTTAGCCTGGATCTCCTGCCCCTGGTCTCTAGACTGTACGTTGTCAATGTCTACCATTTCAACGTCGTCTGGCTTCTCGACGTTGCCATCCACTTTGCCCTCAATGGTTTTACTGTTGCTGGCCTCCCTAGTTGGGTTTGTAGAGCGCTGCGGGTGGTTTGGATCCAATCTGCCGGGGTTACAGATGATAGCCACCCACCAGTGATAGTACTCATTGACCGGGACAACAATGTAGTCGTAAGAAAGCAGGTCAACCTTTGATGTCCATCCTTTGACGCCATCGTAGTTGATATCCCTGGACTTGGTAGCCTTGAGCTTCTCGTAGAAAAAGGTGTTATGCACATACACCCTTTTCCTCAACTCGCTATGCCGCTCCGGGTATTCTTCGAACAAATAGTGCAGACCGAAGCCAAGAAGGTTGTCGTTCAAACACTGGTTTTCATCCAGTCGGGGGATGTCATCTTTGTCTACTATCGTCCGATGGAAAACCAAGGGTACCCGCCAATCCTTGGACCACTCAGGGTGGTCTTCTGTCCACCGACTCACCGGGGGAGATGATACCGGAGGGGCGTCTATCATGAGCGTGTCATCGTTTTGGCTTCCCGATGACTGCTGGTCATGCTGGGGAACAGGAACTTGCTGTGAAGACAGCATTGTGTCCACAAGCCGGAGCCGGCGGCGTGTTAATGTTGTAGGAGACTCTGCGGTTGCCTGTGCTACGGGGCCAACCGATTGAGGCCACACTCCTAGATCCTTCCAGATCAAGAGCTGCTGTGGTCCGCATGGCTCTTGAGTTTCTGAGTGGTGACGGGCTTTCGGATGAGGCCTTCTTGATGTCGATCATGAACCTTTCGTACGTCTTGAAGAGTGTTTCACTATTGAATGTTAGCATAATTATACCATCAAATCCGACGATGTGCTGTAGTACCTATCTGTCTCTGTAACCTTCGCGCTTAGGTTTTCCTTCGCCCATTGCACGAATATCTGGGCTTCCTCTGCTGTAAAGAATTGGAAAACCATGTTAGCGCCAACATTGACTGTTGTTGACTGACAGATTTTGACAAATGAGGATTTGGGATTATGCAGGATGGCGTTAACCCTCTTTGTGATTTCAAGCCAGTCCAGTTCTGACAGCAAATTCCCTTCTGTCGAACACGCACACAGCTGTAAGTGTTTGGCACCTGTGGGGACCACTTCGCCTAGAGAGCACCATCCCTGGGGTCCCTTCCTGATATACCTGTGATTTGGCTGACAGAGCGCACTCTCGAGGCGAACAATAACCCGCGCTTTTTTAACAAGGTCTTGGGAGTTGTTTCGCTCTGTTGTCTGAATGCCACCCTTGTTGACCAAGCTTGAAGCTGCCCGCCTGGGGTTGCGGGAATTGGGGGGCGTTCCAAGGGCCAACTCATCCTCTTCGGGATCAAGCTGGCGTCGTAGGCGCTTCGGTCGTTTCTCAGGGCTCCCTAGGATTGCAGAATCAGCTGCATCCACCATGCGCCTTGTTGAGTTGGCTCGTCGAGGGAGAGGGCCGCTTGAGAAATGTGGGCTCTTCTCCCCAAGCTCGTCCCGGTCCGAGTTGTCAATATCGTCTCTTCCTGGCTCGATACTTGGTCCGTATCTCGGAGTGTTGGTCCCGGGAGATTGACTTCCCCCGTGAGAACGGCGACGCCTATTAGAACGGCGGGTTCCGCCGTCTCTCAATCCCAGGTCCTGGACATTTTGAAATTCGATAACACCCTCTGTTTGCAGCTTGAGGCTCGTCCGGCTACCGTGACTTCCGCTGCGGTTTGTCCGGGCAGCGTAGTCGGACGGAGCATCTTCGATAAGTTCCGGGGAAAGGGCGACGTGGCTGTTCGAATATTCGTTTGTAACGGTAACTGAGCGGCCAGTTTCAGACCCAGTCTTTTGTTTCTTGAAAGGCGGACCCGTAGCTTGCGGTGATGAGTCGAGGGTATCGACAGGTTTGAATGAGGCTGTAACCATATTTTTCTATTTGGCGAGACAGTTAGAGAAAGGCGCCTCGCAGAAACCTTGATCGCATCTTACCACTTTGTTGAGTAAGGACGGCATCTTGACTGCTCCCTCTATGGACTCCTTGGATCTTTCCCCCAACAGTCAGCGCCTATTCCCCAAGACAGAAAGGGCTCGGGCCCATACCCATAATCGGGGAATGAATGTTGGGTGATGTGAAAGTCGTCTCGAGGCTGTCTGCAGTTTTCAAGCTGGTCAGCGGGCCTGCGCGCCACTGGAGGAGGGTTGATCGGAGGGACGTCGGTCGGTGGGATGGGTCGTACTTTTTCGTTGCTTGCGCATTCTGTGTTCTCGGCAAGCGGACGGTATCTATTGAGTTCCCACTCTTCGCGTGCCCCGTACCTGCTACGGCTGCGGCAGACGAGTTTGTCGGACCGGGAGACGGCTTTTGACTTTGGGTTGAAGGGCCGGCAGAATCTCTGTAAAGTCGCGGATTGTGGATGATTTAGCTGTGGGGCACTCGTCTGAACTTGTAGCGGTAGCGGCGCAAAAGGCGCTGGGGGGTGGCCGGAGGGTTCTAGGCCTGGAACACGCACATGCTCGGCAATAATACCTCTTTTTCTGGGGGATGGGATTGTCATTTGCGCCAACGCACCTTGATTGAGCCAGCTTGAAGACCTCACAGGGCACCTTCGTCGCGGAGGAATATCAGGGTGTGTGATGCGCTTTATTCCGTTTTGGAAGGATACTAGTGAGGGCGGCCGGCTCACAGCGACTCGATGGCCTGGGAAGTGACGGGACGAGAAATGGTACGGGATCTGCTGGTCAAAGATGGAACCGGTATGGTATCACGAGGTATTGAATGATTGACCCGATTTGGTCGGATTCTTGTCTCGCACAAGTCAAGATACGAAGTATTCAAAGCTGACAGTAATGGGATTCGCGGTTGAGGTGCCACGTCTCCTTCTCTTCTTTGCTGTTTGGATGAGTGTGTGACCTCACAGGAGACGGAAAGCGCAATCTGCCTGGATGTATTGTGTACGTAGTTGCCGTCCGGGGTCCCTGCCACCTTGTGCGCCTGCCTGCCGCGAGCAAATCAATTGTACCGTATCAGCGTATTGATCAATCAACCACGGCAACAACGTGATGTTATCCGGCATTTTGACATGACATTCAATTGCTTGTCTTCAGCCCTGCATCCGTCACTGCATGGCTCCGATGCTTGTGCTTCCACGTTTCATTCCACTTATCGCCGAGCCGCTCCTTGCTGTCCTGCCATCCACATCTTCACATCCGTGATCCGCGGCGATGGCACCTACATAACATGTCTCAGGCCTGTCCGCTTGTCATCCGTGGCGGCTCATGGGGGTTGTCTAGGTCTTCAGCCCAACCTCCAGACCTCTCCTCTCATATGTACACATTCTCTCCTTTGCGTACACCTCACGAGAAGCCCATGGCTTGCTCCCACCATCTGGATATCCCCCCTCTTCTCCATGGCAGCAGCGAACTCCTTCACTGTTTCCACCTCGAATAGCCCCGTCGGGTCAGTGATCTGGGCTGACTTGGTCTCTATCGGAGCAGGCTTGCAGGCCAGATGGAAGTCCTTGTATCTCAGTCTCTGGTCAAAGTTACACATTGTGATCATCAGGATTACTGCCCTCTTATACTCGGATATCCAAACGAAACAAGCTAGGTAAAGGACTGACTTGGACAGTGGACACCCACCCCTTGACGGCTTCCTCGCTACCTTTGCAATACATGATGCCAGGACAACCCCCGCTTCGAAGGAGCGCATAGCAGTCCAACTGGCCAGCCGCTTTTCGGAGATGGGCGACCTTTTTGCGGGACGTGATGTGGTGAGTCCGGATCAAAGCATGAAAGAAAGCCATTGATGGTCATGAATATCAAAGACAAGAGAAAAAGGAGGGATACAAAGAGACAAGTACCGACAAGAAGACACCACACTTTGTCCAAAGGGGCATTACAAGTGAATTTCATTATTCAAGGTTGCACAATTTCCATTTCTTGTATCATTCATCACGCACGTGTTTACGCGCCATGGACCCACTCTTGGTTGCAACCCTTAACGCGGTCGCCTATTCTGTCCCTCCGCACCTTCTTCTCTCGATGGAGGTTATCGCGGGGCAGTGACTGTGCTGACGGGGACACAAGGCAATTCCATTGTAACCCAAGCGGGTGCCACTGAAGCCTGGAAACACCTTCACTCGGACAAGTCGACCGAACCTTTTCTTCCTTCCTGCCCACATTCGCACCGCACCGCGCATTACCGTATATAACTGTCATCTTGTTTTCACCACCGGTTACGTTCTTTGTCGCGGACATGAACCAACAAACTCTCCACCAAAACACTCTTTGAGAACAGGTCGCGGTGCATTCCTTTTTGGATCGTCTTGGATATCGCCAATGCCCCGGTCGCCGGCGCACCTCGAAGCGCTTTCTCCATGAAATAGCTTACCACTAACAATGCCCTTCCTTTTCTCGTATGTGTGCAACCTCCTGCAGGCGTTAGACGACAACCAGCGCACAAAAACTGGCCTGAAGCCTACTGCCAATATCATCCAACAATGGTTCACCAAGCATCGCTCGCTTCTCAACCGCGGCGACCACAACGATGCTGCACTCCTTTCCGCTCTATTTCCCGAAAAGAGAACAGATAGGGTCTTCAGGTATGGCCTTAAAAGGTTGGAACGCACGATCGGAAGGGGACTGGGACTGGGGATGACCCGAAAGGAAGAACTTGGGAGACATGAGGATGCTCAATGGGGCATGGATCTTGCTGAGTGTGTTGAGCGTATTTTGAGGGACACGGTAAGTTGTACGACGTGACAGGTTGAACCCGCTATTTGGTGGCTCTACACAGCTGGCGGGGCCATATAGATATTACCTTGGAAGTATGGAACTGACGTTGAAGTAGCCCAACGCTGATCCCATCAGCCCAGTTACTGTTGAGGAAATTGACGACCTTCTTCACGACATCGCTTCGCATTGTCACTTTAGTTCCCCTGCGGTGCGCAGCTTCCCTCCCAGTTCAACACCGAAAAACAGAGAGGAGGTACTTGGAAATATTTATACAAGATTCTCCCCTCGAGATGCCAAGTGGTTCACCCGGCTATTCTTGAAAAACTACCAGCCCGTCATTCTTGACCAGCAGCTAGTATATCGCCACTACCATCCTCGGTTACCCTTGATACTAAAAGTTCGGGATGACTTTGTGGATGCTGGTCGCATATTAGCGAGCCACAAACGCGAACGAACTGTTACCGAGAGGGATGAGTTTGCCAAACACCTGCAACCAAAGTTGGGTGTCAAGGTCGGCCGCCAACATTGGATCAAGGGAAGAAGCCTCAAGCAATGCTTACAGATTGGTTATGGTCGGATGAGCTGCGAAGAGAAGTATGATGGTGAATACTGTCAGATACACATCGACCTTACCAAGGGTTATGACTGCATCCAGATATTCTCCAAAAGCGGAAAAGACAGCACGAAAGACCGGAAAGCTCTGCATGAGTAAGTATTTCCCTACCACATTTAGGAGAGCGCTGCTGATCGCAGTCAGATCTATCCGGCAATCACTTCACCTAAACAAGCGCTCTTGTCCTTTCAAGAAGGGGTGTGTCTTGGAAGGAGAGCTGCTAGTATATAGTGACAAGGTTCGTTCAACGTATATGCATTGTATATTCCTCCACTAATCCGCCCGTTACAGGAAGAAAAGATATTGGACTTCTACAAGATCAGAAAGCATGTCTCCAGGTCTGGTACGTTCCTTAGCACGGAACAAGACTCACAGTAAGACCCTAACGACCCATAATCCTTCAGATCACCGTTGCTGACTTTACCTAGACGAAACCCCTGGGAACATCTGATGATCGTCTACTATGACATCCTCATGGTCGATGACGAGTCGCTCTTGGCTGTCAAACATTCCGAGAGGCATCAACGTCTGCGAGAGATAGCGACAGAGGTCAAAGGACGCTCGATGTTGGTCCAGCGGCAAACCATTGATTGCAGTCGACCATCTGCAGAAACAGACCTACGGCGTGCGTTTGCAAAGTGCATCACCAACCGTGGAGAAGGTCTGGTACTAAAACCTGACACCACCTACTTCAACTTTGGGCCGTCATGGGGAAACTCTGGCAGCATCGCCATCAAGCTCAAAAAGGAGTACATCAGAGAGTTTGGGGATGTCGGCGACTTTGCTGTCGTTGGGGCTCGCTATGATCCCACAAAAGCCAAGTCCTACGGCTTCCCAAACATCAAGTGGACGCACTTTTACATTGCGTGTCTGGGCAACAAGGAAGAGGTTTTGCGCTTCGGAGAACAACCGGAGTTCGTTGTTACCAATGTGGTCGAACTGAATGAAACGCAAATGCGTGCTTTCATGACCACTATCCAGCCGGTCGCCGTCAATCCGAACGACAATAAGGCATTCTCGTCGAGGGTCGAGGAAGGGGTCGATAGCCGAAAGACACCAACAACAATCTTTTCCGAGCCCCCGGTGTTCGACATCAGGTGTTTCTCTTTTGATAGACCCGGCAATGTCGGGTTCTGGACTCCGAGATTCCCGATGGTAAACAAGATACATTGTGACCGAACATATGTTGACGTTCTATCGTTTTCTGAGCTGCAAGAGATGGCAATTCATGGGACACAAAAGCCCGTGGACAAAGAAAGCCAGGAGCTGTTGGACTGGATAGGTCGTTTGGAACAGGCTGCTCCCAAGACAAGAGGCGTTGAAATCCAGAGCCAAACGACCGTCTCGACCAGCCAAGCACCGTCGACACCTAATAGGTCGTCATGTTCGGATCCTCTACCACCATCGTCTTTGCCCTCTGTTGGCAGAGAGTCTTTCACAATCTCAACTTCGACGGCCATCGCTATCAGAACACCTACAAAGCCCAAAGACCGACCCCGTCTTCTGTCAACTGTGGTTGAATCGCCGAAGACCTCAACCGTTGAGCTGTCAACAATGGCTCGCGGAGAAAAGCGACCCCACAGTTCCTCGGCCAACCTAGATGATGATTGTAGCAAACTGAGGAAGCACAGCGATGCAGAAGGCCAGAAAGACGTTTCCGCATCCCGCAGGGAGAGCACAGCTTCATCAGTTGTTCAGCGAGAACCCCTAGCCGTCCTCAAAACAACCTCATCACGCCGAAACCTAAACCCTACTTCATCAGTCCCGTGCCTTGTGGGTGCAAATACCATGTACCAACCTATTACCTTGGACATGGAGTACCGCCGAAGTACGAACACCAGGGGACGGGTTTCTCTTCCTCACTCAATGTCACTGGGCACAGGAACCAATGACTTGACCTTCACCGTGCCCCAATCCTCAGCCCGACCTCAACTCTGCTCTTCCCCCACGGCGATCGGGTCTTTGAGAGGAAACAAGTGCTGTCGCTACCTCGGCGACTCGTGCACATTCGCCAACATCTCTTTCATGCTTTCCCCGTGCATCGCCGGCTACCTTTGGGTAACAGAGGATCTATTAGGTTGTCATGGGATAACCGAGTTCGCGTGCGATCCCAAACAGTGGGCAGCAATAGAGCAACTCACTCCCTCAACAACCATGCCCCCGACAACATCAACAACCACCACAGAACCCACCATGCTACCAACCAGCTCAGCACCAACAGCCACTGGCACCACCCCCTCATGCACCCCCAGCGGTGGAACCAAACGCAACAAGAAGATCATCCTCGTCGACCCCAAAAGGAAGGAAGCCAACAAGGCGTTTCTCCAAAGCGTTAGAGACGCTGGGCTACGACATAGGAACGGTGAGCCTAGACATATCCGGGTGTACGATTGGAGGGTTTTGGAGGAGTTGAAGGAGGAAGAAAAAAGGTGCGGGAAGAGTGGGAGGGAGTGTGATGAGATTAAACTTGATATGAGGAGAAGTGGGAGTATTTGGAGGAGGTATTGGGTTGGGTTGACTTGATTTTTTATTATTCTTTTCTTTCTTGTAGAGGGAAGGGGAGGGGAAGGTGTTGAAGATGGCATTGCATTGCATTGCGTTGCGAGATATTATTTATTTTCGGGAGGATGAGGTTTTCTTATTGGATTCCTTTATTGAGGAAGTTTAGTTTGGGTAAGATACTAGGATAAAAGGGAAAGATCATATCATTTCTGGAAGGGGCCTTAGGGTCTGGTCTTATTGATACCTGGATTGCATCGCAGATTCTGCTAACCGAGGAGATACTTGAAGACAGAGTCTCGTCTATATCATACCGACGCAAATCATTACTCCTTCTTCTCATCCTCATACAACTTCAGATAGCTCGCCTGCAGTCTAGATTCACACCACACCGTTAGCAATACATAGCCAAAATTTGTGAAAAGAATAGCAAGAAAACGTACCTCGACATCAAATGTTCATCAGCAGTCAACATCTTCCTCTCCCCATTCTTCTTCACCTGTCCATTTTCCTCCCCAAACTTCCTAACCCTCTCACTAGGCACCGGCTCCAACTTGCTCGTCCCCACCGGATGACAAAAGAACGCAATACTATACCTTTCCCCTTCGCCACTTTCCCCCTCCACCATCCCATTACTTCCCTCTGAAGCACCAGCCCCCGCACCAGGAAACACAACCCGATGCACCGTACTCCTCAACAAGCCATTAGTCCAATAACTCAACAAATCCCCAATATTCACCAAAATAGGCGGCTGCGCATCATCCTCTGTTCCCGGGGGGCAGACCGGGACGGGAACCCATTCCCCTTCTCTCGTTTGAATCTCCAACCCTGCTTGGCCTTTCAGTCGGAACAAGAGAGTAAGGCTGCCGTAATCAGAGTGTGCACCTGCCCTGACGTCCCCATCGCTCTTTTCTTCTCCTTCTTCTGAAGTGATAGAGGACTGGGCAGGGTAGTAAAGTAATCGGAGGATGGTTCCCGAAGCACCGTTCTCGCGTAAGTGCGCGGAGGTGAAGAATGAGGGAGGAGTGACGGAGAGGCCTATCCCCAAAAGGGTGTTGAGGCGGAGGGAGAGACGGTAGCATGAGGTGTGGAAGTCGGTGATGAAGGCGGATGAGGAGGAGATGGTGGGTGGGATTGGTTGTTGGAGGAGGCCTTGGGGGGAGGGTTCGCCGAAGTTGAAGGCTTCTTTGAAGTCGCCGACCTGGAGAAGATGGGGGTGTGAGTGAGTGAGTGAGTGAGTGAGTGAAGTGGTGGATGGCTGGATGATTGGTGACTTACACGCTGGTTCTTGGGGTCGAGGGTTTCGTAGTGCATGGCTGACCACTGGATATCATGAGGTGGTTAGAAATGTCATATGGTTGAATATGGTTATATGAGACAAGATGATATCTCATGAGAATTCGTTGACGTACACCACGATTATTCTTCTGAATAGTGCATGCTTGCTTCTCCTCAACGGGCGTCTCCTTGAACAGCTTCTTGGCCTAGGTGAAGTTGTTTGATTAGCATTTCTTTCGTAGAATGAGTGACCGGTGCTGATGATGAAATACCAATTCGAAAGCACCATCGACATCCTCCGCGGGGATATCTTTGCCTGTGTTCTTTATGTAGATGAAGCCATGTTCGATAGCGGCCTCGACCAGCTCCTTGGCCACTTGGGCTTGGTCTTGGGAGTCATCGGAGATATCGATGACTGGAATCTTTGCAACGGTGGCCATGGTCGGAACACGAGATGTTGACGAAGATGGTTTCGAGGGAAACGAGTGATGCAAAGGTTAAAAGTGACTGTATTGTGTTGCGTTGTCATAGGAACCCCTCTCGGGATACACGGTGGTGCTACAGCTACAGCTACCTAATCCAACCCCATTCAGTTAAGCATGCCCCTCCTCTGGGGTCATCTTGTGCTGATAAGAAATAAGAATACCCCAAACTGACGATGCTCGTGGAGGTAGTAGTAGTTGCACAAGGTATACCTAAGGTACTGTCTACGGATCTCGGGATTACGAGTGAAATTCGGGTTCGATTCAATGCAATACGTCTAAAATACATGGATCGGGCATGTTGCCCCGAAAGAAGTGCAAGTGCATACTGCAGCTTCTGGCATCACGAACATGTGCTCATGATGCGGATGTTTCATAAACACATAGGCTTTAACAACGCTCGAGCCATAACACGAGTGGGCCCGATAGCCTTGGCGTCACAACAGATAACCGCGTTTAGTGGTCACCCTTTGGTGTGTGGATGCCAAGGGTCCAGGGTCGAAACGTCACTGACCGCGATGGGCGACGGGCAACGGGCAACGGGCAAAGGCTCACCCACTGCACCTCACACGGCTCGATCGCCAGAAGCAGGCATCGACACCTGCAACACTCGGCGACACCCATTTTTTGCCGGCCAAAAAACAGGACGCGACGATGCACCACACACACTGCACACACGGGGCTTCCGAAGCGCCATGGCCGACGCACACAATTTGACACCATGATGGTCCAGAAATTGCGAGAATTAGCACCCGCTTATTGATGAACTTGAAGCTGGAGATTCAAGTTAGTTGATGGAAGAAGGTTATCAGATGGAAGACACGGGAGGTCACCACGGTCCCGTCACGTACGGCCACCACGGCACACAAACCTGGAAGGGGAAGCTGCCTGCTAGCATCATGTCGGTTGAAATGTATTTTCTTTCTCCGTGTTCCTTCCTCGTCGGTTCCAGTCTCGCCAACTCTCCTACTACTGCTTGTGCCTCCCATTCAGTTCACTCAGCCATGCCAATCCCTTCATCCCTTTCCGTTCTTTCCTCCTCCCACCAACCTCAACACCACCACCACCACCACCACTCCTCCCTTCTTCCACATCTCGCAGACTCGCAATTTCTTGGGCTGCCCACCAGCAAGTCATGATTTGTTTGCATCGCCATCTCCTTCACCACCCGCCCACGTGAATCATTCGGCCATTTCTGTCAGGTACTCGCGACATTCATTCATCCTATCCTGCCCGTCGCGCATCAACTCCAGCTGGTTGCTGCCAGTTTCCTGCGATTTCCCTGCGCGCGCGCGCCCAGTCTGCGGTCGGACTCTGCAGGCCCCATCAGGAAACCACAAACGCTTCATCACCAACCAAAAAAAACTGCCTGTCCTTCCCCCTCGTCATACCCGCTGTACCTCAGCAGCATTCGTCAGCAGGGTCAGATCGGACCAGGTCAGACCAGACCGAGTAACTCCGACGGGCACAAACCGATTTTCGATTACGGCAACCTGCGACCCCAGAGCCACCCGCGCTCTCGCAGCTAAATAAATACTAGCCATGGCCGCCTCACCCAGCTCTCGTGCTGTCTCTCCTGCACTGTCAGATGTCGACATTCCCAGCTCCCCCGCCCACCAACCCGGCAAGACTTCTCACACTGCCGCCAGCGTAACTGAGGACAACGACGCTACCATGGCTGCCACCCCCGAACCAGGCGAGTCCAGGCTACCTCGTGGGAAGCGAGGACGTGGCCGAGACGATGGATCAGGGACCAACGTTATTGGCAAGATCAGGCATCTGAAAAAGGACGACGGAGAACCGCTTTGGCGAAAAGATATCCAATACGATTTTCTCAAGGCCGTCTTCGACAACGAGCTTAAGGTCTTCACCAACAGCTACGAGCCCGAAAAGATTGGCAAACAGTGCTTTGCCGATCTCTACATCGACACAATGTCCAGGAGTAGCAAGACATCAAAAGTCCTTCGCGACAAGCTGCTTAGTGATCGTGAAGCCGCGAAAGGAATGGCCATGGTCTGCCTCCTCGTCAACATTGGTCGGATGAACACAACACTCAACTGTAAGCCACCTTCCCGTCGTGCATCCGCCTTGTGTCTTCTTGTTGCTAACAATCTCCTCCACAGTCTTTCCCGAAATGCGTGCACAGCTCCGTACATACCACGCTATCCCTTCGCTCCAGGCCCAGCAGGACCCCCATGCGTACAAGCAACTACAAGATGCTCCTCGTCTAAAATCTATTCTAAAAGGAGGCGCCGAGGATAGGGATGAGCCCAATTCTATCGACGCCATCAAGTCGCGTGCCACCCATGTACCGAGGACAAATCCCGTCAATCTCTTGTTCGTCATCTGCCAGCAGGCTAGCAAGATCGCCGAGCTGCATTTCCCTCCTGGCCGAGAGTTCCATGACTTGATCATGAAGACCAACTATTCCAGCACCAGCCGTGCTCGTGCCTTTCTATGGCTCATGTGGTTCTACCTCGAGTCCGACTTCACCGAGGAAGGCTGCGATGAGAATCCTTTCGGAGCAGGTGTCGACTATGGTCTTGACGTAGCAAACCAGGGCGTGCCGCAGCTGGAAGAGATGACGAAAGAGGAAGAGGAAGCCGAGAACAAGGATCCCGACGAAGAGATCAAGTTCGGTTTGGACAAGCAAAAGATGCGAGCCAAGATCATCGAAGCAGACCAGCAGTTCATGGTCGAGAGTCAAACTAGAAAAGGTGGCAGAGGCCGTGGCTTCCCTGTTGGTGATGAGATCGGCCCTACAACTGGCATCCTTCCTCGAATCAGGCCCTCCAAGGTTGAGAGCGACCTGGACAGCATCAGATCCACTCCGCCGCCCAGGGCTTTGGTCGGTCGGCATCCTGCCGCTTTTCAACCAACCACTAACCGTAGGGGTGGCAACTCCCTAAAGTATCAAATCTTCGAAGGCTCGTCACCTGGTGGTGGGCAGATGCTCGAAGGTGTTGTGCATCGGAAGCCTCGCCCACCGACCGCCCATCAGATGGCCGTCGAACGTAATCGGGCTGCACGGGTCGAGTGGATTCTCGACCGAGGACTCAGGCGAAATCACCATTACAGCCGAAAGCACCGTCGCGTTGATGGCTCCATTATCCGTGTGGTCAACAGGCTCGACAAAGCCAAGGAATGGGCCGATTTCAGCGATAGCGAGGATGAGGAGACAGTGAACTACAACAAGCAGGCTCTCCTCGCAGGGGCCGTGAACTACACCGGATACGGAGAGAATTATCCCTTCCGTGAGAAAGGTTACGTCGGTCTCTGCCAGCTTAAAGACGAGGATGATGATTTTGGAGAGGAGTTCGCCTCGTACGCGGCCGCCTTAAGGCGCTCCCAGCGCCGACTCAGCCGGTGGGAGGAGTCCAAGGATCCGGACCTTGGCGTTGTCAGGCCGATCAAGCGGCCAAAGCTGACTAATGGAGATGCCAACGGCGATGGCGAAGGCCAAGGTGACGAAGACGACGGGGAGGGCTCGCCGTCCAAGCACGACATCGATCCGGCGGAAACCGAGGACGAGGCCGATATTATGGAGCGTAATGCCCATCGTCGTGCTTACGCGCCCACCAACAAGCCGGTCATTCTTCGCACCGGCAAGACAAACGGTATCCAGAGGCAGGATACTGCCGATACCAATGATGCCGATACGCCCATGGACGACGTCGACGATTTGGATGACGACGACAAGGCGCTGCTTGGCCTCGGCGACGGTGAAGGCGAGGGTGATGACGCCGAGGATGATGTTGACGGTAATGACGATGGTGAACGGGACGCCGAGGATCAAGAAGATTTGGACGATCTCGACAAGACGTTGTTGGGCATGGATGGCGATTCAGAGTCAGAGTAGAGTGATACTCAAGAGATCACCGAGAATGATGCTGCCGATCGGAATTCGGATGCCTTGTCACGCGCGCGAAAACCTTACCACCGCGGGAAAATTGACTGTCCGCTCTGTCTAGAGACTGGTTTGTCATACCAAGATCTGAAGCAACATCTGTGCGCATCACATCCGGATTTCGCCCAGCAAAATGCTACCAAGTATCACTTGTCATTATGTCCAGTCTGCCGAAAGGCAATCATGAGGGAAGGACGGCTAAAGGATCATCTATGTTCATATCACCCCGATTTTGTCAACAACAATCATACCAAGTATAAATTCGCTCTATGTCCGATATGCACAAAGGTATTCGGGCGCAATTCAATGCTTAAGCAACATCTATGCACATCACATCGGAATTACGCCCTGGAGAACGCTACCAAGTATGGCATCCCTCTGTGTCCGATCTGCCAACAGCCGTTCGCGGACGAAAGCAAAATAAGGAAGCACGCGAGCACAACACATCGGATTTCTTTTGCCCAGACTTATACTGCCAAGGACATATGTCCGGTTTGCCAAAAGCCATGTGCGGATAAAGGGGTACTAAAACTACATCTAGCCCATGGGCATCCGGATTTTGCCCAAAAAATGCCATCGAGTATGGCCTTATTCTGTGTTCGCATTGCCAAAAGCCATTCGCGTCCCAGTCACGCTTACGCCAACATGGAACACTATGCCAAAAACAATCAACGGCAGAAGCATTCGGGACAGCGTGTCCCAGCGGCTCTTAACTCGGCATAATAAGGGTCGCGCAAGGAATGGAGAGCGATACATTCTTCCAGGCATACTTACTACACATGGCGAACCCGATGGATATACATATGGGCTCGCATCGGTTTTTGTTTTTCTAGTTCAACATTCACTCCTACCACTACTTTTAAATAAGCAAGAGTAGTTTTTCACGGTTGTATATTTTCACGGTTGTATAGATTCCTAGGAAGCGTTTTTTTCTTCTTCTGGGCAACAAGAATGGCTTGTACAAAAGGGATGAAGAACGGACGGACGGAGGGTTTGGGGTCAATATGTATAGACTAGAGAGGGAAACAAGAACAATCAAGCAATGAATCAAACAGTCAATCAATCAATCAATCATGGAGATTACATAATGAAGTGTGTTCAGTGCTGAGGAGAAATCGCTCGCTCACGTCGGTAGTCCTCAATGTCTCGATAGACAGACAGTTGAGAAAGTGATACAACAAGGACGTGAAATTAAATCGGACCGTTGACGAGTGGAAGCCACTCTGACTCCCCTGCCTGAGTAGGTAATAAAGTTTAGATACTACGCGGATGAGAAAGAAATCCAACTGAAAAATCCCACAGACAGAGAGGTGAAGATTGACGTCTAGCAATCGGAAATCGACTGTGAAGTGAAGTGGGTAATCACCATACGCCTACAATAAACAGCTTCAACTCTCTAGACTTTCCTCTTTTACACACACTTTCAGACAATCAATTCACCTCGTGTTTCCAGTCTTTCTCCCCAGCTTCCCCTTTCAGTCCACCCAAGGAAAGTGTAGGTTTTGCCGTTGTGGTACCCGACGGCTTGACTTCCCACCTGTGACCTCTTTTTGTTCTCAAACTCCTAGTCTAGAAACCTGAAAACCCACGAGTAGTGTCGCAGGATAGGACCTGTTGGCATTGGCTGTATAGTGTGCACTTCGAGTTTTGCCTTGCAAGCAGAACATCGTCTATCTTTTGGAAGTTTGACGTTGTCGGGACATGTGCACTCCCGCCTTATTATAAGTAGGCACCATCCTATTAAGCTTGTGTGGGTGCCTTGCGTGTATGCTCTGTGTGTGCGGGTGTTGTGTGTGTGCGCGTGTGTATCAGTTCTTGTTGTGCTTCTTTAATGTTGAGCTATGCTTCGAACTTCACTTCTTAAACCAGGAACGCCTAACTCATTCATTCAGTAATTGACATACCTTGCAAGTATGGGCCAAACCTCACTCACATAATACGGCGACGATGGATATTTTGGTCAGTTGCTTGTAGTAGTAAGTATATTTTATTACCCATCGATGAAGAGTGTGTGAGTCTGCGAGGGGAAGAATACATTAATAGATGGGAAGGGGGCCGGTCCTTTTAAACCATCCATTCACTTTACTACGAAGACACTCACTCACTCACTCGCCAAATATCATGATTATTAAATGGAGTGGAATAAACGGAAGAGAATAGCGAGATACTGTACTGATAAAGGAGGTCTATTGATTGCGTTCTTCCCGCCTGTGATAACTAACTTGGTAGCTAACTTTTGTCTAGATAACTTCCTCCCTCTCTCCCCGTAAGTTCTTCATAAACGCTGCCAATGCCATGGCCCACGAGTGTGCCGGGTCTTTTTGCGTTTGTTTTGTCTAACACTGACATACCATAGCTTCTGTGGATGTCATCTTACCATACCATACCATACCATGAGATACCACAACAACTCATTAACTCCCCATAAAAAAGGATGGATATATCCGACAACTCCCTACCATACTATTTGCATAACCATCATTAAATCCTAATCATAACCGTGCGAGTATGTGCGCGCGCGTGTGTGTGTGTGTGGCTGATGAATGTGCGAGAAAAAAGAATAACAGGAAATAAGAAATAGGACCAATATCAAGCTTGTTCTGACATCATCATGAAAGAATCCGATCTTCTTTTTCCATTTCCATTTCCATCTCAATTCCATTCTCCTCTCCCGTGGTATCAAAGTGTCCTAAGTAAGGGCAAACAACCCCGATAACGCCTACTCGCAATGTGGTGAGCGCGTATGTGTAAATAACGCTACAAGATAATAACAATGACAATATGCCAACAATCCCATGACTTCCATATTCTCCACTCCCTGACATAGACATGTTTAAACTTCCTTGAATTCTCTCCCAAAACTACACAATAATCTTCTTATAATCCGGAAATCCATCTCTCTAAGAAGCACCGCTTACCGAAGATGGCATTGGAGGAGTTGGTGGCGGCGGGGGAGGCGCTTCCGCCGGAGGAGGGGGAGGTGGTTGAGGCGGAGGAGCTTCCATAGGCGGCGGGGGCGGAGGAGGAGGAGGAGCCTGAGTAGGTGGGGCGGGGCGGGGTGGAGGAGGTGGAAAAGCTTCAACAGGTGGAGGCGGCGGAGGAGCCTGAGCAGGAGGCGGAGGCGGCGCCGTAGAGGCAATGTTCGTTGTAACCGGAGCTGAGGCCTGCAATTGTGATCTCTGCTGCTGTACTCGAGTTTGACCCGCCGCCTGGTGCTGAGATTGAACGGGAACCGAAGCCGGGTTCGTAGCCGCATATGGTGCAGCAGGTGCAGCAGGAACAGGAGTTCGAGCTGGAGCCGGAGATGCTGGAGCAGCCGGGACCGGATTGGAACTAGTCGGAGCTGGAGCAACGGACTGAGCGGTAAAAGGAGCGGGGGCTCTAGGCACAGAAATAGCTGGAGCAGTTGGGCCTGGTTGAGCAGCTGGGCCAGGTTGAGCAGCTGGGCCAGGAGTTGAGGTACTCGGCTGAGAAACCGGCTGAGAAACTGCCTGAGGAGCCGCCTGAGGAGCCGTCTGGGGAACAGTCTGAGGGACTGACCGAGGAAGTGGCTGAGGAGCTGGCTGAGGAGTTGAGTGGGGAGCCTGGTGAGTTGCCTGATGTGCTGTCTGATGAGCTATGTGAGGACCCGACTGAGAAACAGCCCGAGGAAGCGACTGGGGAACCGATGAAGGAGCCGGTTGAGGAGCTACCTGTGCAACCCGCTGTGTCATAGCAGGTGCCGAAGCCACTTGAGTTGCGCCCACAGCAACCGCCGAAGTAGCTGGAGCACGAGTGGAACTAACAGGCCGAGGAACCGCCTGTGCGGCTGGATGAGCAACAGTGGACACCTGACCAGAAGTCACATGTTGTGCTACCGGCTGGACGGGGGAATGGGTAACCGGTCGGGCAATCGCTTGAGCAACCGGCTGAGAAATCGAATGGGCAGCCGAAGCTGGATTGGCCGTAGCCCGAGCAGCAGGAGGTTGGGCAGCTGCGTGAGTGGCTTGAGCCGAAGCAGCAGGCGCTGAGGACGGGGTGGAAGCAGATGGAGTAACCGGAGTAGGACTAGAGATAGCTGGAGCTGGACCGACTGGTCGAGAAGGCGGCTGAGCTGCCTGAGGGGCTGCACCTGTCGAGGGTGTGGATGCCGATCCCGGTGCAGACATTAATGGCTGGCCGGTAAATGGAGCAGAGACTGATGGGGCAGCCGGCAAAGGAGCTCGAGGGATAGCCGCTGCTGGAGTTGTTGTTGTGGCATGGTTGGGCGGGCTATATCTAGGAACGGAAGACGGCGGCAAAGGAGTCGCCGCAAGGCCAGATACAGTTGATGAGACGGTCCCAGAAGCAGTTGTCGGGAGTGCTGATGGCATGCTCTTCTGACTAGAAGGCACAGGTGACGATGCTGGAGGATTATAGACCCCAGATGCAGGCCTTTGGGTTGAGGCAGGGGTACTCGCAGGACCTCCTGTTTGACCAGTTGTCAAAGACGATGGCCTTGGTGAAGGTACAGCCTGAGAGACAGCCGATGTCATAGGTCCCTGCCCAGAAGTGGATGCTGGCATCGTGGAAGCATTGGTAGGCCTAGTGTACCCGGCGCCCGCTCCTGAGGAGGCTGAGGGAGGCGCTGTCAAGCCCGGAGGGCCGGTTGGCACGTAAGACATTTGACGGACCGTGGAAGACATTGGCGTGACAGACGTCGGCGCTGTGAGTGAAGCAACCGGGGCCCCCGTGGAAGGAAGAGCTCTGGGGATCGAGGCATTCGTTGGCCCCGCTGGTGCCCCGGAGTAAGTCTGTTGGCCCACGGAACCTGTTGGGACAGAGGCAGCCAGAGTGCTTCGTGGCATGGCAGTTGGAGCTGCAGTACTAACACCATGAGTGAGAGGCGGGCTTCTAGAGACAGGGGCAGTGACTCCCGTAGCGGCCCCGGCGTGAACACCCATATAAGGCCCCGACTGTACAGGGCCCGAGACAGCGGCGGACGCAGGTCGAGCTCCCATTGCGGCATTCGTGTGGCTAGCCGTCGAGGGTGCGATAGGTTGTCCGGAGGTGGGTGCAGCTCGAGGAAGCAACGGGGCCGGAGCGGGAGACGGCGCTGCGGGCGTGATGGTTCTAGGCACTGCCGAAGGAACACCGCCCGGGGGGTTGACTCGCTGGGTCATACTCGGTGTGGCAACTCTTTGAGCCGCGCCAGGAGCTGTCGCAGGGGCAATCGTATGATGGTTTGCGGGTGGTGCGCCTGGAGTTGCTGTCACATGAACTGGTGCTGGTGCCGTTGCGGCTGCCTGTTTCCGTTGCCATTCTGCCACTTTCATTTTGATAGCAGGAATCAAAACCTTTTCGGCATTATTGAACTCCCGCATCTCAGCCTCCGTTCCTCGCGTAATGGTCTTGTCAGCTAAGCCCAGGACCTGATCAATAGCGGAGAGAACCAAGCACTCGGCCTTCCGTGAGTCCAGTTTGGCCTCCAGAGTGCTCACCATGGTGGCCTTGAAGGTGAGTAGAGTCTGCAGCAGATCTGGATCAAGCGATTTGTGGCTGGTGCCTTGAATTCGCTCCTCAAAGACACGGAGCACAACCAACTCCAGTGATTCCTCATCAGGTATCATGCTTCTTGTGGTTAACTTCAAGCCACGGTTGATAACAGACATGGCGAGGATCTGCGGAAACTTCGACGTCTTCTGGATGTATTCCAGCTTTTCAACCGTAACCTTGAAGCTCTCAAGCCATGAGATAAGCTCCGGCGCGATAACTGGACTGAACTGCACTGGCGACGTGGTATTCGTTGTTGGTGTAGCTTGCTGAGCCGGCCTAGCCCCGCTGGCAGCCGGTACTCCAGTATGTGCAGTAGCGGGTGGTGGGTTGACCCGTGGAACACCGTTTACCTGGCTTGGACCGTTGACCGGGATAGAATGCTGTCTTGCCATGCTGTGGGGAGTGGCACCAGACTGTGCCGCAACAGTCGGCATGGGCGGCCGTGGTACGTATGGTGACGAGTATGTCGCGGCAGGTGTACCTGACATCTGGCGCGCTGCGGTAGGCGGCGTACCATACACTTGGGCCTGTGCTGGCGGGCTTGTTTGAGCAGCAGCCTGGTAAGTTGGCCGAGGAGGCTGCTGAGGCGGAACACCGGGCTGGGGAGTTGGAAGATGCTGAGGCGGGTGTTGGCTGACTCCTGGCTGCCCGGTAGTGACATAGCTAGGTCGTTGGCCCATAGTGCCTGGATGATAGCTTTGTTGGACCCCGTGCTCTCCGTGGTACATGCCAGGATGAGCAGGCATGGGTTGCGGTGCATAGTGCTGGCCGAAGTTATGTAAGGAGGCGGCGTGGTCAGGGGAGGGTGCCTTGCGCTTCTTTCCAGCATCGATATCGATTCCGGGAACGCGACTCCAGAGGTGAGTCTCCTCGTTTTTCTTGAACGCATCGTTCCCAATGAGGTTGTGCCGGACACTGCTTTCCCACCCTTTGGTATCCACGTTGAAGTAGTAGAACGGATATTTCAACTGAATTCGTTTGTAGATCTGCTTGAGTGTGAGCCCGTCCGGCGCGGCAGACAGAACTTCGTCGATCAGGACGCCGTAGTTCTTGTTTGGCTTCTGCAGCTGTTCCTCGGTATAATCCTCCCTGCGGAGCTCGAGCGGAGGCGTCTTGGGTTTCTCGCGCCGCTTCTCCTTGATGGTCTTTTCGGCGTCAGAGGCGTCGCCCTCTTCTCCGTTCTTCTTGCGCGGTTTGTACTTGCGCTTCTCGGGTCTATCCGGGGCATCCTCAGGAAGAGGATGCTTCCTCGGCCGACCGACCTTGCGTTTGACTGGCGGCTCTCCAAGAGGCTGAGGCGGTTGGTTCTTTTTGGCAAGCTCCATGGCCTGCTTTTTCCGAAGCCTCTCTTCTCTCTTAGACATGATGCCGTTCTTGGGGGGCCTTCCAGGACCTCGTTTCTTGGGAGGATCCATAAGTGGTACGCTGGACATGTCGGGGAACTCTGGCCTCGGCTCAGGTTTCACAGACTGAGACTGAGAGCGGCGGTCACTCTCGTCATCTTCTTCAACATCTTCCTTCTCGACCGTTTCCATGACATGGTCCGGTGCGTCGGGCAGGAGGATATCTTCGTCTGGAGGTTCTGACAGCTCACTTTGGCTGTCGTCTCGGTCAGGATCAACGGACATGGGCACTGCATTGTCTTCGGGACTGGTGCTACGCCTGTCGACCTCGTGAATGCTCTCGAAATCGAAGCTCATCTCCTTTCCGCCTTCTGAGTACCTCCTCGCAGGTGTCTCTTCTGGTTCATACTCTTCAGCACCGGTCTTGCCTTCGGCCACGCCGTTGATGATGAAGACAAACTCGACATCCTTGACCTGAAGGCGGTCTCCGCTTTTGAGAACCACCTTGTCGTGGCTGTAGTGGACGTCTTCACAGAAGAAGCCGTTTTTGTGCAAGGGGATGGCTTCAAAGACGCCAGCCTGGGGGTTAAACTGAATCTTCAAGTGTTCTCTGGAGATAGCCTTTGTCTTGGCAGCAATGTTGGGACCTGGAGAATGAATACCCAGGAAAGGTGTGTGGTGTGGAGAGGGTCGGAGAGCGCTGAGATTAACAGCTGCAGCTCCTGGGGTATGCGAGACATATTGTCTGTTGGACACAGGACCCTTTTCATCACCAACAGCTGTGACACCAGGTATCGAGCTCATTTCAGCTTCTCCAAACGAATCCACAGGAACAGGTACACCGCCGTTCATCTTCCGTTTCTTCGGAGCTCGGTTATCTGACGGGCGTCCCTCCTCATCTTCGTCGTCATCCGACTCGGGCCCCAACATGCCGCCCTCCTCACTGATGTATGACTTTGCGAAGCGGCGAGAGTCCGCAGAAGGGGGGTGCAGGAGGGGCTAAGCCCCGGGACTCGTACGATTGTTTCATTCTATTGTATTGCTCAGCACGACGCTCCTCGTCCTTTGCTATCCTCCAGGCACGCTGGTCACGACCGATGATGAGGGCATAGGTCGTCATTTGGAAAACACCGTCGGCGAATTCTAGTCTGGCAAAGGACTCGAGGGAAGCGTCGGCGGCGGCGGCGGCCACGGGTGGCTGGAGTGCCCCCTGGTCTGTTGTTGTATGTGGCAGGTGAGTGGCATTGGCTTGATCGAGCTGCATCTGGGCCAGCGAGACCTGGGAAGGACGGACGGTGTTTGGCGGGAGGGGAGGTATTTGCTGTAACTGTTGTTGCTGGTTGGTTGCGGAGAGCGACTGGAGGAAGGTCATCAGAATATGGCCGTTCTGGGACTGGAGGAGATCGATGGCGGAAGAAGTGAAGTCCATGTTGGCCATGCCGTCAAGACCTTGGGGGGCGTGATTGTTGAAGGGAGCTATTGGTGTGCCGTCCATGGCGAGACCTGAAAGGGCTGAAGTAGTTGGGTTTGAAAAGTTTCCTGCCACGGTTGAGGTTGGTACTCCTCCTGCTGCTGCTGCTGCTGCTGCACCTGCAGTTGCCCCGAGGCCCGTGACCTGCGCGGTGTCCCTGCCACCTTTGAGGTCTGTGTTCGGTCGGGTCGCTGTGCTGGAGTGCACATTGCCGTTCGTCTTGGGCTGGTCGGCGGCATTATTCGTCTCGAGTTCGGTTTCTAGGGGCTGTACGGAAGGTTCGCGGGTACGAGGGTCGGGGACTGGATCAGTCAGAGGAGAGATGGCAGGTCGCGGGGGCGAATTGAGGGTATAGCCGATGCCGTTTTCGAGGGTAATAGTATCAAGCTTGAGAGCAGGAACATCGAGGACCTGTGGCTGAGGTTGTAGTAATGACGACTGCTGCTGCGATTGCGACTGGGACGGGGTATCTGGCGGAGGGGGTGGTGGCGGCGGCTGGGCCTCTGGGGGTGGTGGAGGAGGAGGAGGAGGAGGAGGTGGTGGTGGTGGTGGTTGTTGTTGTTTCTGTTCTTGCTGTTGTTGTTCTTGCTGTTGTTGAATCTGCGGCTGCGGCTGCGATTGCGGTTGTGGCAGCGGTTGCGGTTGAGCGCTCTCGGCGCCTGAGGGTGCGGACGAAGTCATCGCTTGCTCCAAGATAACAAGCTCCTTCGCCTACAGCGCGAGGTGGTGGTGGAGGTGGTGGTGCCCTGGTCGAGGCCGGCTCCGAGGTGCGCCAGTTTGTCAATTCGCAACGCGACGATGGGTGACGGGGAGAGTTCAAAAGTCGCCAGGGCGGAAGGTGGAATGACGGGAAAGATTAACGATTGACCGGGGCCTGACGACGGGACGGGGACTGGAGCCGGAGACGGGACCGCTGGGCTGCTAGCACAGGTTGGAACAACCTACTGCAACTGCGACTGGACGGGGAAGGGCCCCGCGTTGTTTCTTGATGCGCAATCCGCAATCCGTAGATAGCGCGTCCCTTTGCTCTTCCTCTCTCTCGCTTCTTCCCCTACGTGACGAACTGAAAGATACAATCGGATCTTCCTTGTGATAGCCCAGCCTTGTATCGACGGCTCTCTGCCTTCCTGGTTTAAAGTGAGCAAAGTGGAACAAAAGTGTCAGTCAATGACAAGACGGACGAATCGGGTGTAAGGACAGTCCCTTACAAGTTCCTTCCCCCAGCGGATTCAGAAGGTGTTGAGAGCCTGTCACGCTCCTTCGCCGGTTGCCTACGATTGCGCTGCACTTGCCTGCTCAGAAAAAGGCTGACCTTCCACCCTTGCTTGTTATGGAGTCCAAACTTTTTTTGAAGTCGTGCGGGAAGCAAGGCAGGACTTGTGATTGGCTGTTCTACCTCGGGGATCCCCGCACCGTTGCAGCTGAGCTCCATCGTCCTTTTCATCATTCCCCACTTTTAACGCAAACTCTCATTGACTCTTTCCTACTGTACGCTAGTCTCCCGCCTTCACCTTCCATTTCTCGGCCTTGGACCTTTCGCTCCTTCCATGACTTTGAACTTTAAGTTGTCATCCAATTTCCCGCGCTCTCTTGCACTTTCTCTCCTCAAGTGAAGAACCTTCTCCCATGAACTGTTCCTCTATCATGTCTTCTTTTCAGGTTCGAATTCGCGAGCATGAAGGAACTCAACAGAGTGCATTTCCGTCCCATATACCGAGTGAGCGAGTTCCATCCGGTCCCTCCCCGGACCCACCAAGGACCGGACTGTTTGACGATCGGCCCATCCTCCGTGACTTCACCTCTTCTCCGGGTCCCACACTCATCAAGAACCGAACAACAACATCTGTCCTCTGTCTTCAACTTCATGACCACTTGTTCTTCATCTACAACAGTACCTGCGCAGCTATCTTGCAAACAGAATACAGCCAACAAGGAGGCAAGTGCCTTGCATGGTAGCGTTGTCAGCACCACTGTTGCGCGTGAGTGGTTACCTCTAGCCACACCGGCTTGAACCTACCCAAAGTTCGAGGGTTGCAACCATGGGTACCATCATCACCACTTCACCGTGCCACCCCCAACCCAGCCTCAACCGAGTGGGAAGCTGAGCCTGCATGAAAACCTGTGTTTGTTTGAAGACACCCAGCAAAGTCCCCTTTCTATCCGTCTCCTCATCAGCTCATACAGCTTCTTACTCGGAGCTACTCCTTCACATCGCTAATAGTAGAGTCGCCCAAGTGGAAGTCTGCTCCCATCCGCTCAATATGTAGAGCCGCATAGCCCCTAGGTTGTATTTCTATGGTCCGAATGGAATGTCAACACCAAAATGTTAACACTCCATTGTCGACATGCGCGTATCAACTGCGCCGCTGGTTCAGCACTGGTGAGACTGATGTTGCAAGTGCAACTCCTGATACTCGGTGTGTCTTCTATTTACGTCCCCATGGAAGATCGAGAGATTCGTTTCATTTTTATATATACGTATCATCTTCATCTTCTGGCTTTCTTTCATTGACCATGTGTGACCATCACCTTGTACTTTCAACCCATTTTGTGCCCTCAAAATGGATACCCAACTTCCTCATCCTCAAACACACATTGTGCATCTCATGTGTGGCCCAGAACACGAAACGAGGCAAAAAGATGCCCCAATTACACAACTATCCCAGAATGGACATTTCACCTTTCTAGAAGAACACTCCAGGTCATCCTCGGTGTATGACGAGATAGTCGAAAGCTATAGCGATACAAGACGAAGGAGTCACCAAGAGAGTCACTCCTCGACTGTTCGAAATGTTGCTTCACAACCGGCACTATCACGCAACAAACCACCATGCCCACGTCCTCCTCCTCGTACCGGCCCCTTTTTCGATGCCTTCCGCCAACAAGAAGATTTGGGCCACCTAAGGCCACCGCCTCTCTCAATATCAAGACCTGTCGAGACGACTCGCCGTCAAGGCCGACCACGAAGCTCCTCCGTCCCACTTATGCCTTACCAAACACCCAATCTCACCCTCTTTCCAAGGATTGATCCAGTTCCGGCTCCAACGTTGACACCAAAACCTTCCTATCCCGGCTCCGAAATATCTTCAACATCTCACTATCCAGCATCAAGCACAGCTGTCAGTATCTCGACCACAAACCTCTTGACCATACCACCACCTCTTCCCCCGAAAGACATCCCACTACGACCAGTCCGACCCCTTCGATCACCTGTTGTTCCCCGAAAGGACACCCCTACTCTACCACCCCTCAAGATCCCTTCACAAAACCCATCATCATCTGTTGGCGACGTATCCATGAGCATGAGAAACCCTATCAAGGGCCCGGCTCTATACACCCAGCCCCGTCCCCTTCCGACTCCAAATCCAACTCCAACTCCGGCTCCAACTCCCTGCCGTCACCAGCGCAAAGCAATGCGACTCAACACACCTTACATGCAAATGCTCCTCGCCCTGGACAAGATCCCTCGTCTCCATAATATCTTCGTTTCGTACTTCACTTGGCTTCTGCTTGTTGCGTTCATCATCGCCACCGGCTCCTTCACATCAGTATCTGGATCGGTCCTACATGTCATGCAACCGTTGTTCATAGCCAGCCTAAGTTGCATGGCCCTCGGCATCCTAGGCTGTCTCTGGCTCGGCATTCGGTGGCGGAGGAACTATGTGTGGTTGATCAACAGGCTGTATATGCCGTTGTTTCTGAACGGACTGGCGGGGGTGTTGGCGACTTTGGCCAGTGTGTATGCGCAGCATGAAGGCAGGTGGTGTTTTCCGGCGGTGGTGGCGGTGGCAGTGGAGGGCGTGTTGGTGGTTGTGGCTGTGGTGTTGTTTGGGGTGTATAACTTTTGGTTGTTGAAGAGGGTGAGGAAGTTTGAGAGTGGGTATTATGGAAAGGGGAGGAAGTTGATGGGTGAAGATGTGGGTGGAGGGGTTCAGGAAGGGGTTAAGAGTGTTAAGAGTGGGAGATGGTGGAATGGAAGGATGAATGCGCCGCCTTGCGCACCGGGGAGTGTTGTGTGATGATGGTTGCATATAAGTATGGGTAGGATGGGGTAGTACCCTTATGCTACTCTTGAAGAGGCTATATATAATGTTTAAGCACTAGTACTGATGCGGGTCATCAGTCAAGACATGAAATGAAACACTACTATAATTCAGGGCATCAAACCAGCCCAAGACAAACTCGTAAACTTCATATCATTCCATCACCACACCTCAAATCCTCCAATCTCACAATCTCACCTCAAAAGCGGACTCTCCTCATCATCCCCATCGTCCTCCTCCGCCCACAACCCCCGCTCCTCTTCTCTTCTCTCCCTCCTCTCCATCCACCTACTCAACCACCCAGCAACCCTATACCCCCCATAGCACCCATCCCGCTAAGAACCCCACCCCATCGTTCTTAAACGCCAAAATCGTCCCCGCAGTCATCAACATGACCATCCGATCCTCATCACTTCCTTCCACGCTCATCACACCAACCCTCGCCAACTCCACTCCCGCTCCCAGAACCATGACTCCCAGAAACGCTCTTGGGAATTTTTGGAGGATCCTTAACAATCCCGATCCAGGAAAAAATAGTCCCAAAAGGAATTTTATACTCCCCAAAAAGATGATCGAAGTCCCGCTCCGCGCCCCAAAGCGGTGTTGAGCAGCCAGTCCGCCCGAGCCGTGGCAGAGGGGCATACATCCGAAGGGAGCAGAGAGGAGGTTCATTAGGGAGATGGAGAGGGAGAGCGGGGTGAGGGGGACTGGACCTTCTTCTCTTTCTTCAAACTTTATTTGTGAGGAGGAGGAGGAGGAATGGTGGTCTGAGGAAGCATCTGGCCACGCCCCTGGTACTGCAAAAGTTTCGTCATCGTAGAGTAGGGGATAAGAAGCCCGAGGAAAAAGGTCGGATGCCAAGGCTGAAGCGGCGATGATGGAGTTTAGGGTTGTCAAGGGGAGTTGGGCTAGGGCCATGCTTAGGGCGCGCGGGGTGAGGAGGGAGTGGAAGACGGAGGGGTGGATGTGGTTGAGGGGGTTGAAGATCCATGAGTTTGTTGGGTTTGTTGGTTGGTCGTAGGGTGGTTGACCAGGAGAGTTCTTGGAGAGGGATACCCGCACGACGGCAAATAAAAGCCCAAGTAGGAACAATACCAGCGCGTATGGTACCTGCATCGGCATCCTGCTTCTCCCCCTCGCATTTCGGCCAGGCTGATGCTGCCCCTGGCCCAACGTAACAACCAACCCACCAAAAGCCAACACCGCCAACGCCCTACTATCCAACCACCCCCCTATCCCTCCTCCTATCCCTATCTTCCCATCCCCATCCTCAGTCCCTTCGGGAGTCGTAAACCACCCCAAAGGCTTAACCATCCCACCCCCAGCCGCCACAACCAAACTCATTCCCGCACCAACTTGCACCCCCCTCACCACGGGCCCCGGCACCCACCTCATAACCTTTCTCAGTCCTCCCGTCCCTCCTAGCAGCAGAACAGCAAATCCCACCCATGCACCCGCGGCGACCGTTACTCCCAGATTTCCTTGTCCCTGTCCCTGGTCCTGCAAAGAAGCAGCAGCAATAGCTTTCATAGGCTGCACCGGCAGGGGAACCCCAAAGACTAGCCCTGTCAAGATATTGAAGAGCCCGGAAAACACTAAAGTGGAGGGTAGGTCGATACTGCCTTGCAGAGAGAGGGCGAGGAGGAGAGGGAGGAGGGTTCCCAAGTCGCCGAGGGAGCCGGATATTTCGGAGAGGAGGACTTGGGGATGGGGAGAGAGGAGGTGGGAGAGATTGTGGGTTGTTATGCGCTTGAGGCGCGATTTATACTTTGAGAGGGAGGGCATCTTGGTGAGTTGGTGGCTACCAGGTGGTTGGTGGTTGGTTTATTGTTGCGATGGACGATGGTGAGGAGGCAGAAGAGGAAGGGTTGGGGTTTCAATGGCGGGGCATAGCGTGGTGACTGTGGTGAGGTTTTGTTGTCGGACGAAGAGGAAACTGATGGTTTTGTTTGAAGATAGATGGGTCGTATAAGGTTTGAAGGTTATGTTACGTTGAAATGAGTACTTTTGGTGTCCAAGAAATCAATGTATGGCGAGGAAAAAGAAGTTGTTGAGGGGAAAGATAACCGGGTGGGTGGTCCCCTCAGTGATTGCTAGTCCAGTTACGAGATAAAAATTAGTGGAGTCATTGAATCGCCCAATTAGGAAAGTCATCAATTACACATGTAGACGGTGCTACGATATCACGAACCTTCGACTGGGACAAAGCAACCAAAATGAACAACTGGGACACCAATCAAGAAGAATTATAGTTCATCATTAATTCATTAAGATATTACAAATCGAACGCTAAACCACCCGTTGAAAAGTAAAGTAAATGACAAAAGAGAAGAAGTAGTAACGCTCTGAAAGCTTGGTATCATTCCGCACAAATTCGTAAATCGTTTCCTCCTCCACTGAAATCATCCCATAACACAGATTCTGGTATCACAAGTTGCCCATTACTGACTGGGTATCACCCCATCTTTTTTCTGTTTGCAACAAACAAGCATCGGTCTTCGAGTCACCATCAGTGATGACTTAGAACCACCTCCTGCGGCGAGGAGCTACAGGAGTAGCAACGCCGTAGTCGTTCTTGGGCTCGACGTGCCTGTTCCTCTTCTTGTGGATTCTAGCCGAGCAGCAGGTGATGAAGAGGATGATCATGCCCAACAGCGAGCAGATGGCAGCAGCCAGGGTGGTCCAGGCGGCGGAGCCCCAGTGCGCGCGAGAGCCCGCGTTGTTGTCGTTGACGTTCGACTTGAGGATGCTGAAGGTGACAAAGTCCATAATCATGATGACCACGGTGACGATGAAAGCCAGGGCAGCGACCATGGAGGCGAGGAAAGAGCCGACGAGGCCGGCGCCGAGGGCGAGGAGGAAGGCGATGAAGTTGAGACCGCAGGCGATGGGGTGCAGGATCATGGCCTTGGTGAGCGCCTTGATGGTGTTCTCGGAGTAGTTGGAGAAAGAGGTGCCGTCGATGGTGCGCATCACGTTGGCGGCGTTGTAGCCCACACGAGATTTGGAGCAGGAGTCACTGTTTAGGAGAAGATTAGTATGATGTACATCTGGGTGTTGTATCAAAAGGTAAAACTCACGATTGGCCATCGGCAATCTCGCACCAGCCAAAGGTACCAAAGGTTACCCTCTTGAAGCGGCCCACGTGAAGGCTACCGAGATCGACTTTCATGATCGAGATGTCGTTGACGACAGGAGAGGAAATGCAGGTAACGATGAGCAGCACCGTTGCTGCTAGCAGCAGGAAGGTGCCGAAGTGGTGGAAGAAGCCTGTCCTCGCCATTGTGATGATGGTGTTGTTGAGTTGTGGTGATTAAGGTGGAAGCCTGGCAAAGTTGAAGCCGCTGGTGTGTATAGTCCTCCCGCGTATGAAGACAGGTCGAAGATGTTTGCTGGTATGTGAATCACAATAAGGGAAAGAGTTCAACTGGACAAGAGAGGGTGACCAAGGCTGATATAAAGAACCGTCTGTTGGTCTGGCATCTTGAATCGACGATGCCTGAAGGGACCATGGCAACCAATCATAGAAGGAAGTGCCTATGACCGTGTCTTACATGTTTCCGGTTCTTGGCGTGATGCCATTCCTCATGGGAACCAGCCCTGCGACGTCATTCCAAGCCTCCAATGTTCCTTCATGCTTGAAACATAGTGCTCCCTTCACTCAGCGCAAGGCACATGGAGTGGCCTGCCCTGCGGCCCAGCCTTCACCCATTGGACTTGGCATCTTGTCTTCAGTGGCTGGCTCCCTTGCCAAAGCTGTCTTTGTTCCATGGGTATCGGTTGTGACGGCCCCGGAGGTCTGTCTGTGTTAAGCGGCCTGGGCATAACCTGTTGTGTATGTGTGACCTTGGAGGTGAGAGGTCCTCACATGTGGTGGTGCCGCCAAGCCTGTTTCACCCCGGCAGTGCTCTGGCGGAAGTGACGTAAGGCTTGTTAGGGGTCAACAATCACGATCCTAGGCCCGGAGTGCCGGTGCCGGGTAATCTTGAAACCCTGAAACTTCAGGGTAGCCAAGCAGAAAGCTGAGGAAGTTCTCTCTGATGATTGGGGGATGAAAAAGGTAGCTCGTTCGGTCGTAGCGGAGGTGGGGCTTGACGTTGCCCAAGCCAACCGTTTGCAAGACCCTGTTTTTGGGGATCATTGGAAAAGTTGAAAATCTTCATTCAGGGCAGTCGTTATGATCGATATGATGGTGATGACGGAACCAGCTCGGATAGGTCATTCGCTGAAAAATTGAATCTGAGAAGACTGTGGTGAGCAATGGCAGTACACCTTACACATGTTTTGTCGCATTCTCTCCCTCGCAAACATCTCGACTTAGGGATAATGTCCCTCCTTGGTCGATTAGGTCTCTCTTCTCGGGATGTCTTGTCGACCTGAGACGGAGCGGTGGAAAAGAGTAAAGATAGCCGTCCATCGTAACTCACGATACCAGTGCTGCTGTCTTGATATTCCCGATAGTCCATCTTGTGTGACCTGCGATCCATATGTCAACAGAAGGTTGAGTTCCAGAAGGGACAGCTAAAGCTCCTCCAATCACATATGGGAAGGGGAGAACTTGATGATCAAGATATCACCGAAGCTACTTGTGGAGATAAGTGTTCAAACATGCTCGTCATCTGTTCCTGAGTGAAGCGCGGTACCCCACGATTCTTGTTGTCGCCACTTTCAGGGCCAGGAACGCAACATGGCTGCCACGTGCTTGCGGGCGGAGACAGACCAGTTCCCCAGATTGCGCATCGAATATTCCGACGGGATGTCTGGAAGGGTTTGAGTGTGTTGTTCTGATGAAATGGGTTAGATTCAAGTGGAGATGAGAATAGCTGAAGTGATAGTGCGTGATTGAATTCTGCGGTTTCCTCAGAGAAGTTCAGGCGGCAGGCCAGGTGGGGTCAAAGGGGGATACTTTCGTTACAGTAAACCCTAACCCTGTTTTCATGCGGACTTCAACTTGGAAGACGACCACATCATAATTCCCGTTTGTCATCACTGGATGCGCCGAGTTGTTTGCTGAAGACTAAAGAATGTGGTCGAGAGTCCAACACAGACTACTCAAATTCCTGCCAATACGGAGTTTCTCATCTCTGAAGGACCCTCTTTTTACGATGTCGAAAGAAAGCCATCTGGAAAGAACCGCAAAGGAACCCCGTGATGAGGTTGTTCACCCAAAGCTTGTGATAAGTGTTGAATAATGGCATCATGACTGACACTCTTGTAGGCACTGCATACGGTGATTATCAAACATGTCAACCAAGTCAATGATTCTATCAGAGTGTTCCAGTTAGCGATCCCCAACCAGAAGGCGATACGTGTAAGCATCCCTTGAGTGAGGGACCACCTTTACTTGTGGCGGCGTGCTGACTCAAACCTCAGTTTTCTGCGGGACAATGGCTCGACGTTCATGTTCCGACCGTGCCCAAGGCTGGAGGCTTTACGATAACCTCTGCGCCCTCAGCTGCAGTTGCGCAACAGGGACCAGATGGCCAGGTACCGCAGGCCTATCTTGAGCTGGCTATCCAGAAGTCGCCAGCCAACCCACCAGCTGCTTGGCTCTGGCAGCCTCTCCCGGCAATCATGAATGCTGAAGTCAAAGTCCGGGTTGGAGGCAGCTTTGTCTGGCCGCCGGCCGGTATTGACGTTTCGTCACTCCGCAAGGTTGTGCTTGTGGCCGGTGGTGTCGGGATCAACCCCTTGATAAGTATACTTACCGCCATTGCGGATGACAGGAAGCATGGAAGGCTTCCTGAAAGCTGCGAAGTGGCGATGCTTTATTCGATGAAGGACCCCGGGCCACCGAGACATGTCAAGAAGATGCTGTTTCTGGAGAGGATTACTGGGCTCTTCGCCAAAGGGGCGGTCCGGGGCACATTTCGGCTGTTTCTTACTAGACCCCATGATACTCCTCAGCAAAGTGATGCGGTTCCAAATATGGAGGCAGGCATGGTGAACTGTCATGGGTATGGAGTGAAGTTCGCCGCCAGAAGGATATCACTAGCTGATATTGCATCCGCTGTTGGGGATGATAAAGACTCAGCAGTGGTATACGTATGCGGTGTTCCTGCCATGACGGATGAAATGGTTGAAAGGTTGGTATCCAAAGGCGGGCTGGGTATGGAGCGCAACAGGGTTTTGTTCGAAAAGTGGTGGTGATTCACGCTGCTTCAGTCTGTCGTTGAGGAGTCGTGTAGGTCAAGATGGCGACAGGAACGAAGGCTCTGGTGGAGAGAAGCCACAGTGTACCAGGTAAACGGGAGGTGAAGCGACGGCACTGCAATTCTTCCAAACGAAACTCTTCAGTCCGGACTCGGCACCGATCGAACCTTCCACTTTCGGGTGAATTGGATTCGAGGAAGTTGATGTGGGCGCGCGTTGCCCCGATGCACCTTCCCATTTCCAAACCTTTACCCACCCCGCGCCTGGAATCCCTTATGAATGGATTTTTTTTTTTTTCGACAAGTGCAGAAACCGACGATTCAAGGAAAAGACGGACGTCTGATCTTCCCTTCAGTTACGCCCTCGACTGCGCATCAAGACCGAAAAATCTTCTGCGTGCGCCAGACAAGGTACAGGTACCTACAGCACCAGCAAGACATGCCTGTCTGAAGTATATCTTGTGTTTCCCACTCGGTCCCTACGAAGCGATCGCCTGCTCTTCCTTCACCACATTTCATCATGCCGTGCCTCCGTGGAATCGAGGTTTCCCTCGTGACGGGGTCATCGGACGAGTGTATTCCCGAGTTTCCGCATCCCGAGGGCTCGTCCGCCCGCTTGATCAGTTCTCATGGCGGTTCAACAAAGCAGGAATCTATATCGACACGCAAAGCTGGTCCCACGATCGCGACGTACATACCGTCCGTGCCAGGTACTACATCTTTTTCTGATCTGTCTCGTCCAGCATGCTAACTGCCAGTACGTTTGTAGGCCACTGCTTCGCGATCAAGTACCACCTCAACGTTGTACCCCCCTCGCCTTGCAAGCATATCGTCTTTAAACTGTTCTTGAATGGCCGAGCGATTACCACATGGGGCATTGACCCAACCGAAAAACAGCATGGCACCGTTGTCAAGTCTCTGTGGGCGCCTGGCCCAAGCTACAATGGACAAGCAGGCCTCGAGTGTCGCAACTTTGTTTTTCTTCCGGCCAGGAACAGATCACCTGCTGAAGACGGCGGTCTTATCGAGGTGAAGGTTTTTAGGGCGCGAGATAGAAAGGCTCAAGCGCCCAGACTGGAGGAGTTCCACCCTCAGAAGAACTATGGCATCGCGTATGTGGCCTCTACGGCGTGGAAAGTCTATGATGTGGTGGATGGCTGACAAATGTTGTAGTTCTCCCAGTATCGGCCTCGTGGATCTTCCTCAGGAAGCCCGCTACTATGTTTGGCATCTCATCGATCCCAAAGATTTGCCTTTTGCAACATTCAGGTTCCACTACCGCTCCTGGGAAAGCCTTGAGCAGCTGAACCTCATACCACCGAGAGAGTTCGAGTTTGTACGATCCCTCTCTACCAACGTACTAAGCCGCAGCACGACAATGGAGTTTGCCGAAGGCATGCTCCGCCACGTGGATGATAGTCAAGCGACACTGTTCACAAAGAACAACCATGGTGACGATAGTCAAGAGGCACTGTTTACGAAGGAAGATCATGGTGACGAGGAGTCAATCTCATTGGTCACGACCGATGACTACGAGGACAAGGAGTCAATCTTTGAAGAAAGCAAAACCCACGGTAAGAGAGGAGACCAACCTAACTACTCCCTCGGAAGCCCTCCGATTGTGTTCCCTCTATCTTCACTCTCTGGAAACATCCCTCAGCCAAGCAAAGCCCTCCGAGATGCTTACCGCGACTCGTATCTCCAGCGGCCCTTGCCAGAACTCCCACGCGAAGAGCCGAGCGTCGTACCACGGCGTTCCTCAGAATCTTCTGCTGCGTCTATTTGTCCGTCTCTGACTCCTTCTCTCAAGAAACTCGTTGACGATGGCGCCTTTGACGATGATGCTGCTTTTGAGATTGGCGTGGCGCGGACCGTTACACTGTCCAATCCAAACTCTTTCGGCACCCCGGTCAAGAAGAACACAAGGTCAGAGACACTCGAGGACATTTCCATGTCAGACTATGCGACATCGCCAGCTTCGACCAGCGAATATTACCCAAGCAAGGCCCTATCTCCTGGCCGATACCTACCAACGACCGGCAGCAGTTTCGACCTTGGTCTTGAAGGCTTTACCCTCACCCCGCAAAAGGAAGATGCGGCTCCAGTTTCTCAGACAGAATCGGATCGAAAAGTGTCCACAAAATATTCCATGCCTCCCTGTCACAAGTCTGAGCAAGACCTGTCCCGGGTGACGAGACTCAGGTTGTCAGAATCAGAGTGGATGAGCCGAACACCTTCCCCTCTCGAAGGGGAGCAGGCAAACACTGCCAGACGTCTATGGAGCCCTCCTCCTAGCACCTCGGCACGCACTGGCAGGTTTTTGGGTTTCCGGAAGAAGTCTTCGGAGAGTCCCGAAGAGGAAGAAGTTCGTTCTCGAGTCGTGGGCAACTGGATCTGAGTTCGTTATGTCCAACATCGTTACGTCGTTCTGAAGCTATCTGGGCTTATCGTTCATCATTTCAAAGGAAATCAAGGGTGGGAAAGGAGTTCTAGGTTGCGTACTAAACCCTATCTATACCCCAGAGTTGTTCTTTTCCTATCGGTACTTCCAAAGAGGTTCGCATTTCAGCCGCATAATGTAGGAATTAATGGGGACAAGGGGGGAATAATACTCAAAAGACCTCCCAGTAATGGTAGCACATCTAGAACTCCGTATGTCAGGAGGCGTCTAATAATTGGTTCTGTTTTCTCTTCCGGCTCGCTCATGCGGTGCCGTTCTGTTGTAATAGTTCTAGTGCCGTATTCCTAGCAGTTATGTACGTATCATCATCGCGATTCCCTTATTTCGAGGTCAACACCGCCCTGGAATCCTCCTCCTTGCCCAGGATTCCCAAGTTCCGTATCTGGCCGGCCGTCGGTGGGTTTGCCTTGTAGCCTCCTTCTGCTTCGGCTTTGCGGTAGGCGGCTTGGAGGGCTTGGACTCTGGCGGCCTGTTGTCAAGGGGAAGAATCAGGTTATAAGTGTTAGTGACCAGGCACAATCTATGTTTATATGTGGATCTTCGGTCTCCCGCGTGGAGTTCGTTTGTATTTGTCGTGGTCTTCTTGACTTGGTGATGGTTCGGACACGGTTTGGGTTACGCACCTCCTTCTTGTGATGCAAGCACTCGTAATAATCCTCCAGCATGGGCGCGCACTTCTTCTTGCCCGACGAGTCCTCCTCATTGCTGTTGACCACATAGCAGGCGAGCACTTCTTGCCAGAAGGGAAAGCACCGGGATGGACCTGGTAGTTTATCAAGCAATGTATCAATTAGCATTGGTATTCACAACGAACGAACGGGACGCAAATCGCCTCGGTTTCGCGACAACACATGGAGGTCTAACTGCATGCCGCTTCCAAGTGTCTGTCCAAGTTGATGGGATTCGGTATAATTGATCAATAACATACCCCCGTTCATGCCATAGCCGGACGACATGGCGGGCTGTTTTGTATATGGGATGCGCTGCTGGCTACGAGCGTCGGTTCGGTGGGTTGTAAATTGCGGGGGAGGCCGGGAGGGACCTGAGTCGTGACTCGCGTGAAAGTGGATGTCGGAGCTTCGGTGGTGGTGCGGGTCTCTGGCTGGCTCTCGCGGGTCTCTCTCCTCGACGGACGACGGCGACGACAACGGCGAGCGTGAGGTTGAACGCTCGCTTGCACCAAGCATCCAGTTCAAGATGTGGCTGGTATTGCTGGCTTAACGTGGGAGTTTGAGAAGTGGTAAGCCACACTTCTATGACATGAGTGTACGGAAAGCCACAATTGTCTCCCCAGATTTCGCAAGAGGGGACCGCTAGCTTGGCGGGAGCTTTCAAGGACCAGGGCTTTAGCTGGGCTTCTGGCGGCAGGCACTGGTGGGGGTCCGCTAGAAAGTCCAGGGTTGTCACCGCACTGCAAGTGGAAGCTTGGGAGCTGTTGTTGCACTCGCTGCAGGCAATGTGTTCATCAATGTTCCAGAATCCACATTCTTGACACCCATCCCACTCTCCGTATCGCGACACATTCATGTTAACGAACATCTGACGAAAGGATACCACAGCTTTTACATACCACCACTACAGTAATTATTCACAGGCACGGCTAGCCATGAAGTCGGAAGGCAACCCAACGCCCAATTGACCAAAACCATCGAATCCCTCCAAACGAACACTACGCGACAATGGCCCTCTTCCTCTCTCCCCCTAAGCTCGTGCTGCTCGCCGTGCACCTTGCTGTCAAAGCCGATATCGACAGCTTGACCTCTCTCGCCGCCCACCATGGCTCTGTTCTTCGCAAAGAACTCCTCCTACGCATCATTCTTACATATCTTCCCGAAACTCTGCGATCGAGCGACTACGTCACCCTAATCGAACACATCGAGCGTGGAGACTTTTCCGAATCGCAACTTGATCCCACGGAAACCGAGAAGCAGCATGGAATCGACATTACTTCCGTCGAGCCGCTTACCGAAGAAGAGGCCATCAAGAAAGTCAAGAAGCTCCGACTGCTACCCCTGTCCTCGCCTGAGGCCGCTCCATCCACAGCAGAAGTCGCCGCCGACGACACTACATCGCTATTTCTCCTGCGCAGGTCCTACAAGGTGGATGAAGAGGCTGGTTTGCTCACCGAGCTGCCGGCCTTGTTAACACCGTTCCTGGATCACTCGCCCGCAATCAGGTGGCTATTGGTCTCGACGATACTGCCGCTCCTGCGGCGCAACTGCGAATACTATCCCCACGAACCGATTCCGTACACACTGGCGGCATTCCAAAGATTGCCGGACAGGACGATAGCCAACTTGTTATTGTCACAGACAGGCGCTCGCGAGGAGGATTATGGACAGATCGGACGAGACCTGAAGGGCATCATTGCGCCTTGGTTGCTGGATAAGAAGCGCTGGATTAACGGTGGTCAGAAATCTGGCTCTGCTAAGGACTCGACGCCTAGGGGTGCCGACGCGGATGAGGATCCTTGTCCAGGGTGGAATCAGGTGTTGCGTTGGCTCACTTCGATTGCATCGAAGAACTGGAGGGTGGCCGCCAATGCTTTTGATCAATGGGAGGGTCCTCGGTCTGTGGATTTGGGGGGCATTTGGGTGGGAGAAGAGGAGAGCCAGCCAAACGACGAGCAGCGGCGTCATCTCGACTGGACGTACGCCCAGGCTGCTCTCGCATCTACATATGCGATCTCGGTGGCTTTAGTTGAAGCATTGGAAGGGCTTATGCGATCCTTAACAGGGCTGTCGTCATCACGAATCAGGATCCTCTTCCGCCACTACAAAATGCAGTGGGCTTGTTAGCACCGCTCGCTGAGCAAGTCGATGGCATTGTGGCCTCGCCAAAGAACGCGACATACCTACGCAATGATCTCCTGGAGTCCTCGAACATTCTTACGTGGCCAACGGAGACGTCAACTGCTTTCTGCCAAGCCTTGATAATAAGCGCTTTCATCCTCACCAGAGCTGGGTCTCCATGCACCCTTAGGAGGGCGGGTGAGCTCGCACTGCTGCAGGATGAGCGGGAGCAAAAAGCGGAAGCCCTCAAGCTTATTCACGCTCTAGCTAACCAGGGACCGAAGACGGACGACAAGTTCTGGATGAAGGCCAGAGATGAGTTCCTTTGGCTTCGTGATTGGGGTGCTGAGGATGCCTGGGGCGCCACCGACTCGAGGCCCAAAGGCATCTTCAGCCAGTTGAAGAAGGAATTTTTGGAGGTCGAGTTCTTGAAGGCCTTGCTTACCAATACTCGTTACGCTTTGGCAAAATCGATTTACGAAGACTCGGTAGAACGGCCGTTGGACGAAAAGGTGCTGAAAGATGCCGTTTTCTCCACGGCCATGACTGCTTACGATAATGCCTCCAATCCTAACCGCACAAGGGGTGGGCTGAAGAAGTGTGATGACATGTGAGTTTGCCAGTATCCATGACGTTGTACGGATCATACTAACTCTAGGAATAGCATCAAAGCATTCCCCAACACGATCTCAAAGTCGGATCCCGTGGCCCAAAAGATCGAGGCCCTTCTCCAAGCCACACATTCCCTCAGTGAATTCCGTCTAGTGCTAAAACAAGGCGAACCCTTTACACCAGTTGTTCTACGAGTCCATGCCGACCCTATCTCCATCATCGACAGAATTCTCGAACAGAACCCCAAGAGCTACACACGGCTACACGACCTCCTCGATCTTGGGACCCGCATGGTCAAAGCTGGATTAACCGCCACCACAAAAACTCCAGCAACCAAACAACAGCATGGAAGCTACACAGTCGCGACCCTCTCTTCTGAAGAGGAAGCAAAGCAGCGACTAACCGCCGAGCGCCGTATCACTGCCATGTGCATCGACGCCGCTCTTACCGAGGACGACTTCGAGACCGCCTATTCCTACATACTCAACCGACTTTCTTCCCCACCATCCAAGAACAAGTCATCTTCATCCATTGTCGTAGACGACGACTACTCCTGGAAAGCCGCCCTCCAAGCCGGCAAATACCGACGCACCAGCCGCACCGTCCGGCCCACCCACCTCGGCACCAACGCCAGTGCCAACCCGGAGATCCGGCACCTCGAGCAGCGCATCGAGTGCCTTTCTACGGCTTTACGCATCGCGCCCACCCCCACACTCCAAGAGATCCTCAACGCGTACCGGCGAGTGGAGGAGGAACTTGACTCAGCCTTGAAGGCGGAAGAAGAAGCCGAAGACGCGTGGGATACAGCTGGTGATTCGATACATCATGGCGGTCGGGTGCCGGGTGCTTTTGGGACGCCACCTAGCAGAAAACCTACCAGCATTACTGGTATCGGAGGAGGAGGAGGATCAAGCGCCGCCGCGGCAGCTGCTCGCTCGTCAAAGTCAGACTCTTCTCGTCCCCAGCTGAAGCAGAAACAAACGGAAGAAGCACCCATGTCGCTCTTCGACCTCTCCCGCGCTAGCGTCCTTTCCGCCCAAAAGAACCTCTCCGCTTTATCTTCCCTGCAGCGCGTCGCCGGCGGACTGGGTGGACACCTGGGAGGTGTAGCTGGTGGTGTAGCCGGCGGTGTCGGCCAACTTGGCGGGCTCGTTGGCGGTTTCGGCAGTGGTCTCACGTCAATGCAAGGAATAGCATGAGTAGTGACCGAGACCGAGACAACAATAACCGGCCGGGAAGTAGAGGTAGCACTTCTACTGCCGGTGGAGGCATGACAAACAGTTTTTATAGCGACAACGGAACTGGAAACGGGAGGAAGGGAATGGTCAACATGGCAGAGTGAGGAAGAGAGATCAGTTAAGAGAGGCGGCGATGGGCACGCTGGTGTCGGGCGTGGGGTGGTTGGTTGGTGCGCCGGCGTCAGCACCACCACCGCAAGGAGAAAATGGGTCGACGGGGCATAGAGATGATTAGGAATAAGGCTGGGATTGGGAGTGGGCTGGTGCTTGTAGCAACGGTGTTTGATGATTCTTGGTCTTCTTCTGGATAAGGGTTGGTGCGAGTTTGGTTGCATGACATGATTGTTGTTAGCGTTTGATTACTGTAGAGAGAGAAAGGGGTTAATGATAAATGGAATAGTGTTAATGTACCACTTTGTTTAATTTCCGTGGTTCTTGGGTACTCTTGAGAGGTCCTGACTGGCTGACTGTATGACTTCTAGAGTACCTAGTGTCTTGATCCTCAACTCCTTCCTTTGGTCCTATCTAATTCTCCGATGGGTACCGAGGTGGGTGACACTCCACCCAAGGTCCGTCCATCTTTTGGTCCATGGAACTGTCCAGTCAAGCCATCTGTTGGGTTACTTCCATATAACTAATCCACCCGAGGGTTGACCGACTCCCGGTGTTCATTCCAAGGAAACATCAGATGAGTGGGAAGTAAGAACCCCTCAATCAGCAACTGAGGACAAACGGGGTATGAAAAACTTTGGTGTAATCCGATGTAGAAGTCTGTCCCGTCCAAGCAAGTGCCGTTTGCGGACCTCCAGCTAGGACTGACCCGACGTCATTCCCTTGGTATCTCTACCTACCATTGGAATGTTGATACTTCGTGTACTTCACGGGCCGTTTTCGGTGAGTGCCGTTACGAGCGCGCCGCCATTCCGCTGTCACTGCCACTGCCGGCAGGGCGTTGGTATTTTTGGATGTCTTAGAACTAGCAGGTCTTTGGTATTTGGTTCAGGTGTAGGTATGTACCGTACGGGGACGTTAAGTTGAGTTGAGTGTTGCTGATAAGCACATTCCAGTATACTAGCAGGGTTATACTCGGTTTCTTGTGGATGGATGATAGTGCAAAGGTATGGTGGTAACAACAACACTTACTAGGTATACTCCGATTGCGGTCATAGACAACTGAACGGGAACGGAAGAGAAATATACATCTAGGTAGATAGGTAGGGTGAGATACTTGACGATAACATCACCACACTCACCTTGCCTACCGAGCTACCTTTGGTTTGCGACGAGAACTTTCTGATGCAAACACTTGAAGGAAATAACAGAATGGAGGAACGCATTCGCCGGCGTCGACCCAGCAGAGAGAAAAAAAAGCAAAACATTCGAGACATGGTTCAGCCCGTCCGCCGTCCATCCGTCCGTTCTCAACTTTGGACTTTCTGCGCCGGGATCCATGCTTTTCTATTCCTGTAGACCAGACACTCACACCTCAACAGCAACGACTTTCCGTGAACGGCGTCGCTAGCAAGGTAGGACCTGCCTCCGGCTTGACACTCTACCATAGCAAAAAAACCAAAAAAAATAAAAAATTAATTTTGTCTCCGGCAGATCCAAAACGGCCAACAAGCGTATGTAGGTTCATCCAAGTGCCGGGTCAGGAATCGTACAATGTGCGGGTAAGGCGGATTGGCGGAGGCCGGAGGGGTAGACAGTCTTGCCTTTGTTTGCAGAGATTTCAGGATGGAGAGGAGACTGCCTATTGCGTACATATCGTATGTAGTCACTTCATCCCTCAGTATGTACCTTGGTAGCTAGGTAAGGTGGGCGGTGGGTGTAGCGTGCTATGTTGCCTATGCCTTACCACCAGATGTCTGGCTGCTTTGTTCTCCAGATCGTGCCAGTGGCTGACTGGACGATCGGAAACGGGGAAAGACACAAGGTTTGAAAAAATTTGCGATATGCCGTCTTCGTCATCACAGAGGTAGGTAGAGGTGGCCAGCCATGGCCGGATGTCCATACTTGGTAACTCTCGCTCGGGTAGCAGAGTCTAGAGTGGTCTTCAAGAGGGCGAGGGTTCCTCTTATAAGAACTAATCATGTTCTCTGGCTTTGAACTTCAATCTCCATCGACATCAGGTTTCTCATCATCAACATCTGACTTTTGTTGTTGTTTGCTCGTTCAACCCGCCACCTACCTTACTGCTCCCGACCTGCCTACGTACCTCGTCAACATCACTCGCTCAGCCTTATACTCTCGAGAAGCACCACAGCTATCCAGGTGGCAAGATGAGGACCTTCACAACCCTTATCTCACTGGTGGTGGGCTATGCTGCCATCGCCAACGCTCAGGGGCTCTACGTCGATACCCGTGGCCGAGCCAGATGCACCCTCCCCAACGGTTCCTACTGTGGTGCCGATGGCCTTCTTATCCGATGTGACGGCACCTTTGCTTTGGCGGGGTTGAACTGCAACGACGTGAGTTCACTTTTGCACACTCCCTCCTACCTCGGTTGACGATGTCGGAAACAAAAAAAGATTGAAGGAATGCTAACACGAGAGACGACAGCTTCTGATCGAAGCGGTCCCCCGCGGCATCGACCTCAATAATCCAGCCACCTGCTGGCAGGAGACTGCCTTCACCGGTAACGCCGTGTGCCGGAAGAACTGCCGCGTCTATGCTAGTCCGCAGCCCTTCGACCTGGCGGCTGATGAGTGCACCCCTTACTTTCCCGGGACCGCCACCGTTCTAACCATTGCTCCTACGACCGTTCCCACGACTGTTCCAACTACTGCCCCAACCACCGATCCTACTACTGCTCCCACTAC